GGCTCAACCACCCCACGGGGGGGGGCTCAACCACCCCACGGGGGGGGAGGGGCCTCAACCATCCCACGGGGGGGGAGGGGCCTCAACCACCCCCCGGGGGGAGGGGCTAGTGGGTGCTGGAGCGAGTCTTGCTGTCACCACCAAGTTCGCTGCCTCGTTCGCGGTGTAACCCAGCGACCTCCCCCTCCTTGATCGGGGTCTGGATGTATACTGGAGGAATCCGATGAGCTGTAAAGCTCTTTTTTTCTCAACAAATGTCCAGATCCGAGAGGGGCCCGCGGCCTGCTACCACTCCCGAGCTGCGATTAAAAACGATCCAGCGACCCATTCGTAAATGGTGAACAAAACAGTCTCAAGTGTGTTGTGTGTTAATGTGCGTTGTGTTTAATGTGTAGTAGTGTGTTGTGTTAATGTGTAGTGTGTTAATGTTAACGTGTTGTTAACGTGTGTTGTGTTAATGTATAGTGTGTTAATGTGTTAACGTGTTTTGTGTTAAAGTGTATTAGTGTGTTGTGTTAATGGTTGTTATTGTGTTGTGTTCATGTGCTAACGTGTTGTTAATGTGTTGTGTTAACGTGCGTTGTGTTAATGTGCATTAGTCTGTTGTGTTAATGGTTGTGTTAATGTGTTGTGTGTTAATGTGTAGTATTGTGTTAATGTGTATTATGTTCATGTGTATTAGTGTGTTGTGTTAATGTGTAGTAGTGTGTTGTGTTAGTGTGTAGTGTGTTAACGTGTGTTGTGTTAATGTGTATTAGTGTGTTGTGTTAATGTGTTAATGCTGGTTTACTACAGTGTAGGGAGCGGTGGTGTAGCGGTCAGCGCGACGCTTCGCCACGAACCTGGCGACCCGAGTTCGATTCCCGCTCACCACCAACCCCAGCGACGATTCTCTGAACCGGTCCTGGGCCTCCCCTAGGTCGACTCGGCCTCAATTGAGTACCTGGTGCGGTGTGTAAACATCGCCACTGGGGAGACAAAGGCGGCCGGGCGTAGTGTTGGCCACCCACGTCCTCGTGTGCCGTGCCGGCCTTCACAGGTGCTGGCTAACAGCACTTGCCCCAACAGTCTGTTAAGGCTACACGGGGGATCTGTGTCACTACAATACTGTGTGTACTTTTCACGCACAATGAAATATACAATTGCTAAGTCTAAAATAAAAAAAAAATGCTATGCTTAGTGAATTCATTAAAAACCAGAAGTAATCTGCCGACTTTTCATCACGTTGAAAAGTGCTTTTCCGCATCATTAAAAATGACCAGTACTTAAATAAAAAAAACCCTCACTTGCATCAGCAGAGTTAGATGCGCAGAGTTGGATGCACGGAGCAGTAATTAGCGTAGCGGGGAGGCCGTGCCACTGGGGCGCCGTTCAACTTGCGTAGCCGTGAACGCTGCTGGGGGAGGCGATTGGTGAATATCCTCGTCAGCTAATCCGCGAGTAAATATTTTTTTCCCAAATTTGGAACGCCCGGCAGGAAAATGGCCCTGCACCCTTCTTCGTTTGACGCCACGGGGCCTCTGCCCTCCACCGAGACGCAAACTGTGTGAACGCCAACGGTCGGCAACGCCCCGGCGGTAATAACCAGGGCGGCCTGGCCGCATTCGAACCGCGAACCTCTGAGAACGACCGCCGGGGTTATCGCGCCGCACTTTTGGCTACCGGGAGAATCCTAAAAAAAGAGGCCAAACAAATCGTCCACACGGCACGGCAGGCACGGGCTTTGCCGGACAGCGAAGGTACGAGGGAGTGCGGTTTGCGACTCGCGTGTTGTCAGAGCGACATGTAAATAATAATAATAACAACCACGAGAGAGACGAATAACTTTTTTTTTTTACCCATGGCACACCAGTGGGTACGGGAGTAAAGGTCAAGGATAAAATGACTGGGAATATTGAACGGGAATGGGGGGGAAAACAGACAGCATGGGGGAAATAAGAGAAAGGGAGGGAAAAGGAATGGAAACATGGGGACCAAAGGTTCAGGAGAGATGAGGATACGGAGAAAAATGCTCCGCGCAAGGGCCTCAACGCTGCACGGGGCAGCGTCTGTTTTCACAGGGGGCGGGGCAGAGAGCGGAGGGATCACACAGAAGTCGCGTGATTTGCGGGAGGCTTGAGGTGATGCAGAGAGATGCGTGCCTTAGCATGCCGGAGTGACCCTCTGCCCGGCTGGCAAGGGCCTCCCACACCCCTCCACCAACATGGGAATGGCGCCCCATGGCTTTTCCTGGCGACTGTTAAGTTTAGCACCCGTCGAGAGACCAGCAGTTAACGCCCGACTTCGCCTAAATAAATCCTCTATGTGGCTAATCGCGTCGTTACGAACGAGACACAAACTCGAGGTACACAAACTCGAGATACACAAACCATCCGCTTGTGTTAATAGCTGCGCATTGTTAACGAGCCACCCGGTACCAAGCGATCGGGGGGAGTTTTGGGGGGGGGGGGGGGGTGGAGAAAAAAATGGCACATTCGGGGGACGCGATCAGTTGGGTTCATCAGCCACGACGACGCGGTGGCGAGAATTCCCCTTCGTGCGCGGTGGCGTTGGTGCGCAGGGCGCGCGAGGACGGCCCCGTTGTGTGAAAGCCTCAACGGCCAACGTTCGATTGGGACGAGCTGCACGGAACACGTTTTAACGGCAACTCGCGTGCGCAAAAGCTGCTGCGTAGACTCAAGTTCCCGAGGCACCCCTTTTGAACGGAATAAATTAGTGTGCGCGGTTTGGCACCCTCGGCCGTGTTCACAGGGGTCACCGTTTGGTAACGCATGGAGCCACGCTCCGCGCGTGCATCTCCTGCCGTGATGTAATCGAACCATCCCGCTAGGAAACCCAACACCGAAGCCTCTCCCCCAGACAAGCCAAACGTTTAGGCTAAATCTAAATAAATTAATGCGAACCATGCGACCGGTTCAAACACGTGTGGTGCAAGAGGCACATTAACGGCACCCACGTTTTTTTTTTCTCTTATAAAAAAGGGGCAACATTTCCGACACTTTGCAGATAGGTCTGAAGTTGGCATAAATAACCTTAATTGACACGAGGGCATTAATTGTGACCAGGTGTTGCTTCCCATTCTCTAGTGTCACCGGTCACAACCAACCATTTTGTTGCCACGACAACCGTATCCAACGCGTGGGTCCGTTGGGCACGGTCCGCTCCCTAAACACCTCCGTCTCTTTAAACATCGCTCGCTGTGACTCGTCTTTACATTCCCGTTGTGCCGCGCGCTGCACGGTACGCGTCACACGACGAGGACGCGCCCTTTGAGAGCTCCCCGCGCAAGCGACGTCGCCGCGCCGTGCCGAGCGGCTCCGTGGAATCCGACGTCGCGGAAGCGCTCGTCAATTCTCTTCCAAAGGCAGATGACGACGGCGGTGGCGGCAGAGCGTCTCACTCGCTCCGGAGAGTGTCCGTCGCATGGCAGCTGAAGCCGAATGGTTGGCCTTCACGGATGGAATACGCTGATTTAAGCGACGACAGTCGCATACAGTCATCAACATAACACTGCCCCGGTCATTGGTGACCAGGCCGAAACCATCAACTGGCTACGTTTGAGAACCCGGTTCCATCATGGGAGGCTGAAACCCAGATTAAATTCCAAGATCTCAGCAGTGCTGGCTGTGTCTGACATGATAGGAGCTCTAGGAGCAATGCAGCCAACTTTTCACCACCGCCGGGTGCGGGGAGGATGGACGAGTGGGGTTGGGGGTGAGGGTGTGGACAGAGAATGTGTCACAGCGATCACTCAAAACCTGCATCGGTTCCAAACGGTGTCTGCCTTCGATTGAAGCGCGCTCAGAACTACGTCCGTTAATTTAAATTAGTCACACGTTGCTTGTGTATCTATCAACTGGCCATTCAGCTCTCCAACGCGCGTTTTGTTTCAGTGTGCTAAACACACTGGTTCAACATCACATGGAGCGAGACACGTCGGACATCGTGCTGAAACAAGATGGAGCGGTACAACGCAAAGGGCACAACGGAGAGTCCACGCAGCACCACCGCCACCTCACAACCACCACAGAAACCTTCGCAAATACGTTAACAAGCTGCCAAGTGTAAACACAGCTACCAAAATCCACAATAAACTCATCCAACGACAGCAGACGACTTGCTCCAATTGAGAGTTCGTGTATCTGAAATCTATGGCAGCCGTGCAATTTACCCGAGATTCTCTGTTAAATATACCCTTTTTTGTCTCACTGTGCAATGGAGCTGTGCTGGGACCGGTCCGGGCCAGCTCGTCGCGGCTCAGGAGTTGGCAGGTTTTTTTTTTTACATTACCGCGGAAACACAAACCGTGGCGTTGACATCGCGCGGGACGGACGAGTCGGGGTCGCACGGATTCCGAGGAAATAACTCCCGTCCCTGGCCCTGCCTGGCTCCGAGCCGGATTCAGATGTCTTCATGAGGGCCGGCCGAGTTTCAGAGTTTGGTGCTCGCTCATCTTATGTTCACCGAAAGCACTCCCCCCCCTCCCTCTGTTTGGCCGCACCTCCGACACATGCCGTCCCGTTGCTGCCCGTTCCTCTCGACGTAATCGCTTTGACGTTCTTGTTCTGTACCGATGCAGTACGCATATCCCATTGCAAGCTCGCTGGCAGCAACGGCCGAAATGGGATTTTCCGTGTAACAAATAAACATCGAAGCTGAGAGCCGGTGGGAAAACCACCCACACCGCCACGAGGGCCCTGTCTTGGACTGGCTTAGAAATGTCAGTGGAAAAAGTTCTGAAAGTTAACGGAGCCAAAATATATATTCGTACATGAACTTCATTTGCATTTCTTCCATATACTTGTGAGTGCAGCCTTTTGTAAAAATTCTCTTTTTGTTATATCCGTCACCAGATAATGTCCCGGCGGTGTAGCAGTGTGTGTGCGAATTGCATAGGTAGCTTTAGCTCATTGCTTTACGTGAGCAACAAGCAAAACATTTGGTAAAACTTGAGCAGTAAATATTAATGTCATTGTTTTTATATGATCATTCAAGTTTCTTTTTTTATATATACCAGGGTACTAGAGAGGTAAACTGTGGATGGAATTATTCCGACTCGGTGAAACGAATTCTTCTTAACTCACCTTCGCGTATTTACACGAGATAATTTGTGGCATATACAGGTCTGTACAGGCTGGTGTTGTTCGAAGTGTAAGTATTGCAACCAGTGCACTGGGGGTGGGGGGATGGGTGGGTTAGCGGGCATGGGCACGTGAACACGTGCATTGTACGCGTGTACACGTGCATTGTACGCGTGTGCACGTGCATTGTAGGTGTGTGCACGTGCATTTCACGTGCGTACACGTGCATTGTACAAGTGTGTAGCACCAGTGAGTGAGGTCCACATACGCACACTCAGGTATACACGCACGTGAGCGTACACGCACTGCCGGCCGCGTGTATGGGGATCAGCTCGCTGCGTTGGCAGGAAACTGCAATGAAACAAGGCAGATGGGGTTAGAGGTCAGGAAAATGAAATATACATATAAAACATTACAGGCAATGTGTTTTATTAGCAGATAATAATTTGATGCTGCTGCTGCTGCTGCATTGACAGTGGTGCAGAAACAAATGAAACAAAAATATTTTCAAAAATGGTTCATAATTCTGCGGCTTCTGCCATAGAGGTCAGGTGACTTGGGGCAATTGTCCCCGAAATATCGCCTCTTATTTATTCTTTCTTTGACGTGGAACGTGTTTTTTATGTCTGTGGTGGGCACGTGGTAACAATGCGTGTAAAGAATGCGCGCAGCGTTTATGGTTAATGTTCACGTGCATTGTGTTATATTTTCATGGTTTTCAAATTTAATTTGTTCAACCAGGTGAACACTCGAGAGAGCAGGATAACTGTCATTTACATCGAGACTCGGATTTGCAAAATTACAAAAACCAAAGAGTAACATAAATACAACTAAGTAGCACCACACTGAAGCAAAAAGAAACGTGAGCAACTGAATTTCCAGGAGCCAAAGTTGTGAAAAAAATAACTTTTAAAAAATAACTTTAAAAGCCATTCATAGTAAAATCACAAATTGCTGTTAGCCGCGGCTGGGATTTCAACTCGCCGGAAAGTGCAGCGCAGTGCGCTAACCATCGCACCACCGCTCATGGGTGGGGACTAGGGGGTGGGATTTGTGTCGTCGGTGCCTGGCGAACGTCGTCACTCACCAGTGTAAAGTGGTCGAACATTGTCCTGAGTTCGTGAGAGCTGTGCTGCTGAATGACGGTGAACGGCTTGAGCTGTGGGCTCACGCGCATGGCGCACGCGCGGCAGTACACGCGGTAGGCACGCGCGCCCGGCACGGAACGCACCGCAAACAGCAGGCTGAACACCTCGATCTGTATAGGCACACAGACATCCCAATGCATCCAGCATCGCTGAAATGATATCCACTGTCGTCAGAAGTCAAACGATGGCTGTGGCGAAAGTGACAAAATAAATGTACTTTTTGTGCGATCCCTTCAGCTATTTAGAAGGGTAATCTATATATTTATTAATGTATTCTTTCGCGCAAAGTTTTTATCAGCAGTCGGGGGCGATGTTGATGCTATGTAATCGCGAATGAGTGATTATTTGGAGCATAATTTTTCATGATTGGGATGTTTTTGGCCAACACTCCCGAGTGGGGAGGGGCGACACCCAACAATGAGAACTCCCGAGCGGGGAGGGGCGACACTCAACAATGAGAACTCTTGAGGAGGGAGGGGCGACACCCAACAATGAGAACTCCCGAGCGGGGAGGGGCGGCACCCAACAATGAGAACTCCTGAGCGGGAGGGGCGACACCCCACAATGAGAACTCCCGAGCTAGGAGGGGCGGCACCCAACAATGAGAACTCCTGAGTGGGAGGGGCGACACCCCACAATGAGAACTCCCGAGCTAGGAGGGGCGACACTCAACAATGAGAACTCCTGAGCTAGGAGGGGCGACACTCAACAATGAGAACTCCCGAGCGGGGAGGGGCGACACCCAACAATGAGAACTCCCGAGGAGGGAGGGGCGACACTCAACAATGAGAACTCCCCAGCGGGGAGGGGCGACACCCAACAATGAGAACACCCGAGCAGGGAGGGGCGACACCCAACAATGAGAACTCCCGAGCGGGGAGGGGCGACACCCAACAATGAGAACTCCCGAGCTAGGAGGGGCGACACCAAACAATGAGAACTACCGAGGAGGGAGGGGCGACACCCAACAATGAGAACTCCCCAGCGAGGAGGGGCGACACCCAACAATGAGAACTCCAGAGCTAGGAGGGGCAGCACTCAACAATGAGAACTCCCGAGGAGGGAGGGGCGACACTCAACAATGAGAACTCCCGAGCGGGGAGGGTCAGCACTCAACAATGAGAACTCCTGAGCGAGGAGGGGCGGCACCCAACAATGAGAACTCCCCAGCGGGGAGGGGCGGCACTCAACAATGAGAACTCCCGAGCGGGGAGGGGCGACACCCAACAATGAGAACTCCCGAGCGGGGAGGGGCGACACCCAACAATGAGAACTCCCCAGCGGGGAGGGGCGGCACTCAACAATGAGAACTCCCTAGCGGGGAGGGGCGACACCCAACAATGAGAACTCCCGAGGAGGGAGGGGCGACACCCAACAATGAGAACTCCCCAGCGGGGAGGGGCGACACCCAACAATGAGAACTCCCGAGGAGGGAGGGGCGACACCCAACAATGAGAACTCCCGAGCGGGGAGGGGCGACACCCAACAATGAGAACTCCCGAGCGGGGAGGGGCCACACTCAACAATGAGAACTCCTTAGCGGGGAGGGGCGACACCCAACAATGAGAACTCCCGAGGAGGGAGGGGCGACACTCAACAATGAAAACTCCTGAGCTGGGAGGGGCGACACCCCACAATGAGAACTCCCGAGCGGGGAGGGGCGACACCCAACAATGAGAACTCCTGAGCTAGGAGGGGCGACACTCAACAATGAGAACTCCCGAGCGGGGAGGGGCGACACCCAACAATGAGAACTCCCGAGGAGGGAGGGGCGACACTCAACAATGAGAACTCCCCAGGAGGGAGGGGCAACACCCAACAATGAGAACTCCCGAGCGGGGAGGGGCGACACCCAACAATGAGAACTCCCGAGCTAGGAGGGGCGACACCAAACAATGAGAACTACCGAGGAGGGAGGGGCGACACCCAACAATGAGAACTCCCCAGCGAGGAGGGGCGACACCCAACAATGAGAACTCCAGAGCTAGGAGGGGCAGCACTCAACAATGAGAACTCCCGAGGAGGGAGGGGCGACACTCAACAATGAGAACTCCCGAGCGGGGAGGGTCAGCACTCAACAATGAGAACTCCTGAGCGAGGAGGGGCGGCACCCAACAATGAGAACTCCCCAGCGGGGAGGGGCGGCACTCAACAATGAGAACTCCCGAGCGGGGAGGGGCGACACCCAACAATGAGAACTCCCGAGCGGGGAGGGGCGACACCCAACAATGAGAACTCCCCAGCGGGGAGGGGCGGCACTCAACAATGAGAACTCCCTAGCGGGGAGGGGCGACACCCAACAATGAGAACTCCCGAGGAGGGAGGGGCGACACCCAACAATGAGAACTCCCCAGCGGGGAGGGGCGACACCCAACAATGAGAACTCCCGAGGAGGGAGGGGCGACACCCAACAATGAGAACTCCCGAGCGGGGAGGGGCGACACCCAACAATGAGAACTCCCGAGCGGGGAGGGGCCACACTCAACAATGAGAACTCCTTAGCGGGGAGGGGCGACACCCAACAATGAGAACTCCCGAGGAGGGAGGGGCGACACTCAACAATGAAAACTCCTGAGCTGGGAGGGGCGACACCCCACAATGAGAACTCCCGAGCGGGGAGGGGCGACACCCAACAATGAGAACTCCTGAGCTAGGAGGGGCGACACTCAACAATGAGAACTCCCGAGCGGGGAGGGGCGACACCCAACAATGAGAACTCCCGAGGAGGGAGGGGCGACACTCAACAATGAGAACTCCCCAGGAGGGAGGGGCAACACCCAACAATGAGAACTCCCGAGCGGGGAGGGGCGACACCCAACAATGAGAACTCCCGAGCTAGGAGGGGCGACACCAAACAATGAGAACTACCGAGGAGGGAGGGGCGACACCCAACAATGAGAACTCCCCAGCGAGGAGGGGCGACACCCAACAATGAGAACTCCAGAGCTAGGAGGGGCAGCACTCAACAATGAGAACTCCCGAGGAGGGAGGGGCGACACTCAACAATGAGAACTCCCGAGCGGGGAGGGTCAGCACTCAACAATGAGAACTCCTGAGCGAGGAGGGGCGGCACCCAACAATGAGAACTCCCGAGCGGGGAGGGGCGGCACTCAACAATGAGAACTCCCGAGCGGGGAGGGGCGACACCCAACAATGAGAACTCCCCAGCGGGGAGGGGCGACACTCAACAATGAGAACTCCCCAGCGGGGAGGGGCGACACCCAACAATGAGAACTCCCGAGCGGGGAGGGGCGGCACTCAACAATGAGAACTCCCGAGCGGGGAGGGGCGACACCCAACAATGAGAACTCCCCAGCGGGGAGGGGCGACACTCAACAATGAGAACTCCCTAGCGAGGAGGGGCGGCACCCAACAATGAGAACTCCCCAGCGGGGAGGGGCGACACTCAACAATGAGAACTCCCCAGCGAGAGGCGACACCCAACAATGAGAACTCCCGAGCGGGGAGGGGCCACACCCAACAATGAGAACTCCTGAGCTGGGAGGGGCGACACCCCACAATGAGAACTCCTGAGCTGGGAGGGGCGACACCCAACAATGAGAACTCCTGAGCGGGGAGGGGCGACACCCCACAATGAGAACTCCCGAGCGGGGAGGGGCGACACCCAACAATGAGAACTCCCGAGCGGGGAGGGGCAGCACTCGCCTCGCAGTCGTGGCAGTAGTAGACGCTCTCCCCGGGGGCGCGCGGCTGCACGATTGTCCTCTTGCCCAGCTGCTCCAGGATGTTGAGCGTGCAGAACCACTCGCACAGGCTCTGCTGCAGGCAGTACCTACCCACAAAGGCAAAGGTCCCGCGTGTAGCCTTAACGAGACGGTGGGGGCAAGTGCTGTTTTGTTGGCGAGGAGCAGCACCTATGAAGGCCGCCAACATGGCGGACGGGGCATGGGTGGCGTGGAAATGCACCACGCCCGGCCACCTTTGTCTCCCCATTGCCCATGTTTATACACAGCACCGGGTGTCTCATTTAAGGCTGAGTCGACCTAAGGGAGTACACCGGACTGTTTCAGATGGCCATGAGCGGGAAGCGAACTCGGGTCGCCGCATTGGCAGCAGAGTGCGCAAATTACTGCGCCACCACTCCCCACACACGTGTCAGGGAAGGGCTGTGTGTGTGTGTGTGCGGTCTACTTGCTGCACCGCCTCATTAATCCACCTTTTTTCCCCGCGGATGAGTGTCTCAGGCCCATGATTTCTCCACGACGTTGCGGTCCACCGACCCCCCCCCACCCGAGTGTTGCTGGATCACAGGCGCATTGTTGACTGGTCACATCCCTATCCCGTGACGAACCCCGCGCAGCCTGTCCTTCCCCCACACCTCTGATCAGCACGTACAGTGCGAAAGAAGTGCAACATACGCACGTGTGCACCTTTTCCCGCCGTGCGTTAACCTGCGTGCGGGCCCCACCTCATATGCGAGTAGAGCTGAGCGTCCTTCACCCGAATGTTCTGCGCCAGGTTCCAGGAGAGGTGCACCATGGGTACGATGGACTGCACGCGACTCCGCCGGTTCCACTCGTAGCGCTCCACCGCCAGCTGGTACTGGTGGGCTGTGACGCGCGTACAAGCGTCACGCAGGGTCAATTGGATCATTTGGCGGGACCCCGGGGTCCCGCAAAAATCAGGTCAATAATAATAATTATTTATCAGTCCGCCCACTCGTGATCCCGACAGCAACGCGCAGCCCGCCCAGACTCGCGCCAACAAGCGCCAGCAGCAGCAGGCGGCGATCGACACGATGGGCGCCACCCCACCGGCCAAACGCGAGCCCCGGGGGGCGTCCGCCGCAGTCGCGCGCGGCGACGACGCCCCCCGGTCAGCCGTCGATCCTCAGCTTCTGTGCCAAGGCGAGCCCGCCCCCCCAGGCAGTGAATTTAACGTGTTTATTTAATTTTTCAACTTTTTATGAAACTTAGTGCCCCGAGTAGCTCTCGACGAGGCCAATCGATTGACCACTAGAGTTTTATTGTCGGTAAAGCAACAAGACTCGTGTCGCTACGCGGTTTTTCCCACCCCGGGGCAGTGATGGGGTCCCGGGGTCCCGCCAATTGCTTCAATTGCCGATTGCGCCGCCCAGCAGCGTAGCTATCGAGTGCGCAGGCGGTGCAACCGCGCCAGGGACCAACGGCCGGGGGGGGGGGGGCCTCGGAGCAAGGGGGAAGTTGAACAGATGGCTCCGTCTCATTTCTTGCACCAGGGCCAAGCTGCATTGGCTTCAGGTTGCCAAACGAATACGTTGCAATCGTTACGCACAAAGTGCCTGCCACAAATGAGCCACAATACGCCCCATCTACGCCTCTATATAAGGAACGAAACGTTAAGACTTCTCCACAAATCTGGCTGTCGCCTGATGAAGCTAGTTGTAATTACTGGTGAAACGTCGTACTCAGATTGTAAATGTTGTGGCTTGGCTCTCCAACACACCGGTTAGTGCTGTACTAGTGACGAATTGGCACGTTCTGTTTACGTGACAACCCTTACTAGTTGGCTGTGTCGGGTGGTGGCGGGTTTTAACGACACACATTTATATAGTTACGCGATCTAACCCAAAAACCTCTACTATGGAGCCACAATACCTCGCTGATATCGTCAAGGAGCATAAAGCATCATCACACGAACTCCGGTGGTCATCCTCGCAGCGGCTTTTGGCTAACCGTCGAAAAAATACGGTCACCGCATTGTGTACAGACAGTCCCCGGGTTCGGGACGGGTAAGGTTCCCCAGATCGAACCGTAACCCAAGTTTTCCGTATGTCGGAAACTGAACAATTTTACCCCCAAAAATCAAAGATAAATTCCATTTACCTGAATCTTAGTGAGGCTCGAGCGAGGAGGCGTAAGGCAGCTGCCCCCCTTACGCCTCCTCGCTCCACGGTATTCATCCGCAACCTCATCGCGCTGTACTACTTGCGCCTGCGTAACTAACGCAAAAAAAATTCCGCGTATTGAATTTTTTCTTTACACGATTTATGGGAGCATCTCCGTAAGGTCGGATTACCGTAAGTCTGGTCTTCCGCAACCCGGGGAGACTGCCGGTACTTTCAGTTGCACTTCTACAGCCGTCTGCAACGCTCTTCCTTCCGATATTAGGAAGCCACTGGAGCTGTGTACATTCAAATCTAGGTTAAAAACTAATTTCTTTAGAAAGCCTTTTTTTGTAAAATTTGTTGTCCTTCCCCCGTACCTCCAATTAGCACGGTTGGATACGTACTGTGGGAACGAAGTTCAACATACATACACATGTATTACAACCACGCCACTGCTGGATGAAGGCTCTCCCAAGCCGTGCGTGCCATGGGGGTTTTGCTTGGCCATCTACGCCGCACCGGTCAGTGCCGGTTGGTGAAGGGAATGACCCAGGACCGGTGCAGACATCACCTTCCCACTGATGCAAGCCGTGGGTGGGAATAAACTACGGCCGCCGGGTTCACAGTGCAGTGCTCCGTACCTCAGTACTTCTGCACTGTGCAGTAACTGTAGTACCCAGTACAGTAATGTGCACGGATGCCCAATTAATTAAGGGGCGATTTTAGCACATAAAATAAAGGTTGATCGAGTATTACAGAGCAGCGGTCCCCAACCTTTTTGGCACCAGGGACCGGTTTCGTGGAAGACAATTTTTTTCACGGACCGGGGGTGGGGGGGGGGTTCATCATTGGGTCTTTCCCCCTTCTCAAAGAAGCTCTCCAGCGACGTTTGTTTGTTACTCATTGTGGCTACTAGGGGTTAGCTTGTGGGCTTACCAACACTGTGACTGAGACAAGTGCGCAGTGCGGGAAAGGCGCGGACGGAAGTTGTAAATAATAAAATAATGGGCAGGCCACGTGCGGACTCACCGCTCTCTCCTCCTGCTGCTGTGTGGCCCGGTTCCTAACAAGCCCGGGCCGGTACCGGTCCGCAGCTCGGGGGTTGGGGACCCCTGCTACAGAGTACAGTATCGACTGAGCTATACAGTGGAGTACTAAGCTGGGATTGCCCGGTGTATGATGCTTCTGTGCCCACCCCCACCCACCCACCCTCCCTCCCTCCCTCCCCCCCACACAACATCTTAGCTTGTCGGAGTTTATATCGCGCCTTGACCAAGGTGCTAACCAAGGCGCAACCACATCACGTTCCCCCCCCCCCCCGCTCATGCCCCCCCCCCCCGTACCGGTGAGTGGCCCCACGTTCCACGCGATGTTGTTGCACCAGCCCAGCGCTTGCACCCAGTGCACGGTGCCCGGGTTGATCCACACGAGGTCACCCGGGCGCTGCACGAAGCGGTACAGGGGCACCTGCTCGGCCTCCAGGTGCGCCAGCACCGGCCACCACGAGCCCGTGAGGTAGTTCACTCCTTCCCTGGGGCACCAACGACGCACGCACACACGCACGGTCACACGCACGCACGGTCACACGCACGCACGGTCACACACACGCACGGTCACACACACGCACGCACGCACGGTCACACGCACGCACGGTCACACACACGCACGGTCACACACACGCACGGTCACACACACGCACGCACGCACGGTCACACGCACGCACGGTCACACGCACGCACGGTCACACGCACGCACGGTCACACGCACGCACGGTCACACGCACGCACGGTCACACGCACGCACGGTCACACGCACGCACGGTCACACACACGCACGGTCACACACACGCACGGTCACACACACGCACGGTCACACACACGCACGGTCACACACACGCACGCACGGTTCCCGCACTTCACCACACCGGTCGGTGCGGCGTGGTGGTGAGTACAGACGCGGGGAGCGTGGAAAGGTTACGCAACCGTCTACGCGGATAGTTTACATGGAGAGACGGCTGAATGCGGAATTGTCGCCGCACAGTGTGTATGCTGAACTTCTTTCGCACAGTACGTAGCCAACCGTGCTAATTGGATTTGTGGGGGGGGGGGCTGGGGAAGGACAACAAACTAAACACAAAAAGTAGTTCTAAAGAAATCAGTTTTCAATCTAGATTTTTCAAGTGTGCCATATACTACAATGGTGCTCACCATGAACCTGCAACAGTCGGCATGATTTTAACATCAAGCACAAATATTTGACTTAAGTTGGAATCCTGTTGTCGTACCCGTGGCACAGCGCCCAGTTCCTACCCTCAATGCACTGGGACAGAATCAACGAAAACAGTCGGGGTGACTGATGAACCAGCACTCACCGATTCACTCGTCTTTCGCTCACCAGCAGTTATAGTCGCCTCCTCATCGCTCTTCTATCGCTATTGCTACTTTACTACGACCACGGTTACTACTCCCCTTCACCTCGCTCATTGATTGGTCCACCCATGTTGAGGACTCACCGCTTTGTCTCCTCCACCACGCTGTGCTCAAGCACCAGACCGCAGGTCACAACCACACACACACTTTCACAACCACACACACACTCTCACAACCACACACACTCACAACCACTCACACACTCACAACCACTCACACACTCACAACCACTCACACACTCACAACCACACACACACTCTCACAACCACACACACTCACAACCACTCACACACTCACAACCACACACTCACTCACAACCACTCACATACACACTGACAACTACACTCACTCTCACAACCACTCACCCACTCCCTCACCCACCACACTAGACGTCTCAACCACACACTCTCACAACCACACACACACTCACCCACTTACTTCACTCCCTTACCCACTATACTCAGGTCACAACAACACTCACAACCAAACACACACAACCACTCAAACACTTGCAACCACACACTCACTCACAACAACACACACACTCTCACAACCACACACACACTCACTCACCCACTACACTCTCGCCCACTACACTGCAGGTCACAACAACACTCACTCTCACAACCACACTCCCTCACTCACTCACCCACTTCACTCCCTCACTCACTACACTAAAGGGTCACACCTCACATATCTCTCTGCTTCTCCCAGTGCACGACTTCACCTTGCAATTCCCTGCCATCGTCATTCCCCACCCCCTCCGCCACACGTTCTTATAGTAGTAACCGTGCTCAATTCAAGAAACGTGTTAACTCTTTATCAATCACGCCTTCAACTGTGCTGTTCGTTGGAGTCAGTTGGGCAAATTCTGGCCTTTGGTTCCTGTGCTCAGCAACCGTGATGCTAGAATGCGAGTAGAGTAGGAAGGTCCGTGTGGGTAAGTCTCGTGGTGAGTGAGTAGGAAGGTCCGGGTGGGTAAGTCTCACACAGCGAGCGAGTGAGTCAGCCCCCAGTGATTAGAGAGTGAGAGTGGAGTAGGAAGGTCCGTGTGGGTAAGTCTCGCACAGCGAGCGAGTGAGTCAGCCCCCAGTGATTAGAGAGTGAGAGTGGAGTAGGAAGGTCCGTGTGGGTAAGTCTCGTAGTGGGTGAGTCACCCCCCTGTGATGTTAGAGTGAGAGTAGAGTAGGAAGATCCATGTGGGTAAGTCTTGCACAGCGAGTGAGTGAGTAGGAAGGTCCGTGTGGGTACCTCTCGCACAGCGAATGAATCACCCCCCAGTGATGCTACAATGAGAGTCGAGTAGGAAAGTCCGCGTGGGTAAGTCTCGTAGTGAGTGAGTGAGTAGGAAGGTCCGTGTGGGTAAGTCTCGCACAGCGAGCGAGTGAGTCAGCCCCCAGTGATTAGAGAGTGAGAGTGGAGTAGGAAGGTCCGTCTGGGTAAGTCTCGTGGTGAGTGAGTGAGTAGCAAGGTCCGTGTGGGTACCTCTCGCACAGCGAGTGAATCACCCCCCAGTGATTAGAGAGTGAGAGTGGAGTAGGAAGGTCCGTGTGGGTAAGTCTCACACAGCGAGCGAGTGAGTAGGAAGGTCCGTGTGGGTAAGTCTCGTGGTGAGTGAGTGAGTAGGAAGGTCCATGTGGGTAAGTCTCGTGGTGAGTGAGTAGGAAGGTCCGTGTGGGTAAGTCTCGTAGTGAGTGAGTGAGTAGGAAGGTCCGGGTGGGTAAGTCTCGTGGTGAGTGAGTGAGTAGGAAGGTCCATGTGGGTAAGTCTCGTGGTGAGTGAGTAGGAAGGTCCGTGTGGGTAAGTCTCGTAGTGAGTGAGTGAGTAGGAAGGTCCGGGTGGGTAAGTCTCACACAGCGAGCGAGTGAATCACCCCCCAGTGATTAGAGAGTGAGAGTGGAGTAGGAAGGTCCGTGTGGGTAAGTCTCGTAGTGAGTGAGTAGGAAGGTCCGGGTGGGTACCTCTCGCACAGCGAGTGAATCACCCCCCAGTGCTCTTCGGGGACACAAAACCACTCGCACTCGCCGGGGCCAATGTTTATGTTGACCGAGCAGAAGTTGTTGTTCTCCTGGTGGCCTGGGGAAAAGCAGGCACGCAACACGCATGGAAACACGCCGCAGGACACACGTCTCGGACAAGAAGACAAAGATGCCCCCCGTGTAGCCTCGACAGACTTTTGTGGAAAGTGCTGTTAGCGAGCAGCACACCAATGAAGACCCGCACGGCACACGATTGGGTGGGTGGCCAGCACCACGCCCGGCTGCCAATGTCTCACGAGTGGCGATGTTTACTACACACCGCACCCAGGTACTCATTTGAGGCCCGAGTCGACCGAGGGGAGGCCCGGGACCGGTTCAGATAATCGTCACCGGTGTTGATGGCCGTGAGCGGGAATTGAATACATACACAGACACTCGAACCCATGGTGAATTCACCCACAGGATCACGATGGAAATGAATGCAAGAATGAAAGCACGGCATTGCTCATCACCTGCGTTTTGGTCATGAATAATAAAAAATGTGTTAACACTTATATGGGACTATCTTTTTAATTAGAAAAAGAACGGATATTACACGATAACAAATGTATGTTAACAGCTTCAAAAAGTCAAAGCGTCTCCACTTGCTCGCAATCATTGTCAACAAGATATGCCTGGGATCTACTCCAGGTGGTCTCCAGAGCCCCGGAGGAACATTTCTCGTTTGTATTGTTGCAAATTCTCACAAGTGTTAACATTTTTTTTTAGCCCAGCAAGTGAGAAATGTGCAAGTCAAAAACACAACAACAGCAATCGGGAAAACAACGTTGATGGACCTTGCCAAGGAATAAAACAACTGTAAAGCGTACAGATTTCAAACTAAGGTTGGAAAGGTTAATCCGTTATCTCTGTCCACCCGTCCAAAACAGGGCCAACTCGATAACACGCAGAGATGAGCCGGAAGTGGGCGGGGCTACCGGAGCAGTGGGTGTGGCCTATCAGAGATAGGCTGGGCCTAATTCCATCCGCTGTGGGCGGAGCAGCTGATTGAATGGGGCGTGGCTATGTAAATCTGGGCGGGGCTGACGGCGCTCACCGTGTGACCTGGTTGAGCCGCCAAAAAAAGACGGCGGCTTTGTTTTACTTGGCGTCAAATGACGCAGCAGAAACTCGCTTAATGGACTGGTTTACAAGTGGGGGCGGTGGGGGTTTATCGGGCTCCAGACGCTGCCACGCGGCTAACGGACAGAGCAGAGTGAGAGCACCAGCGGTTACCTGGCGTGCGGCTTCCCGGCACCTTCATGTAGAGCTGCAGCGTGTTCATGCCCTCGATCTTGTGGCCCACGTGGCTCAGCATGTTCCCCACTGAGTGGAGACGCATGAACGGAGGCAGCTTGCACACCTCGGCCAGCTGAGCGCTCCACCTGTTCAACGGCAGTCGAACGCGCCGTCGGTAAGTGTGGGCGGTCAAGGCGCGGGGGCTCTGCGAAATCTTGCCGGCATGGCCTCGGCTTTAAGGGGGCTGCTGGCGGAAGCTCGAGGGAGCACCTGTGGGGAGAATTTAGGCCTCTTCCTAACCATTGGCCAGGTGTTTTGGAAGATGTGAGAGTCTCCCAACACTTCACCCCACCACACATGAGCTGTCACACGTAAATTTGGCAGGCCGTGTGTGAAAGTACGGGCGCACGTAGCCACCACCGCCCGGCTCATAATTCTTCTATGAAGCACTCAATATTGCGACTCAAACGCAGCAGCAAAACGTAAACCTTAGCCTGCGCGAGAGGCGAGGGGCTGCTGGTGGGTTGGTGAACCTCTGGGCACCCCCCCCTTCTACGCGCACACGCCCAATGCACGCGCAAAGCAACTCACGTTTTCTCATCCGACAGGTCAATGTTGGTGCCGAACTTGAGGGTCCTGAATGGGGCCATGCACTCCAAGCCGTCCAGCCTACGTGGAACACGGGGACAACGTTACACGGCCCGCCACTGCCCTCGCCGTCACGTCGCGTAAGGACCGTCAAAGAGAGAAACGAAAGAGGATCCTTCACCTCTAACGTGTGGCAGTTCACCTGCACCGATGGCCATAAGCCGGTCCAGAGTTGAATCAACGCTGCTGAAATTGTGCACTCCCCAGAAGGCCGCGGGGGCCGAGGCGTCGTGTAATACATACTCTTATTTCTGACGTCCAGAGATTTGCGAAGGAGGCGAATTGGCTATTTATGTTGTTCACTTATCTTATTCACAAACAAAGCCAATGATTATGTTGCGTTTAGAACCGTAAATACCACACCGGCCTCACGAAGGAATGCGTAGTGACACAGAGTCCACTTGCAGGGATCCTGCGACCCCGCGGGGAACCTCCCCCACCACCGCTAATGGAACGATCCCTCTCATCCCCTTACATTTTGCCACTCCGTCTCTTCCCCCCTCTGCTCCCAGTCTCGCTGCAAGACGTAAGGCGGATCAATAAAACTTTGAGGAAAATCACTTGCAACATTTGTCCTTTCCTGAAGAGAGTTAGTTTCGTCTCTTGGCCTTGTGGAAGATTTCCACGCCCGTAGGCAACGTATCTTCCTCTTCCCCGAGAAGGCACGGAACCTCAGCGAACCGGTTCACCCTCTTCCAAGAGACGTGCTTTAGGGGACTGTTCATCAGTCTTTTGACAAAGTGGTACTTTATTTAGCAGTACCCAGCTTGCAAGTCTGTTGTCTTTCTTTCCAAGCTAATAGATGATCGGTCACTGCGGAGTTATCTATATATATACACACACACACACGGTGCAGTGTGTGTTACACTTGGTGTAGTTGTAAACAAGACCCAATTGAACATCACTAAATATTCTAGAGGTCCAACACAAGCATAGACAACAACCTCGCCACCCCCAGTGGCAACGCCTCAACAGGCTACAATCTGCTGACGAGAGCTACAAAAGTTAAAAGTGGTCCAATTTACACGCCGATGCTAAGTGTGTCTACTGTGCAAAGGCTGGCGTCCTTACCTTTGACTTGTATCAAAGATTCTTGTTTGTACGCCATTCATCCGATTACATATGTTATGCTCCTGCACAAAACAAAGGGTATATCATATTTTAAGTGCCGAGAATCGGTAGAAGACGGGTGAGACCAGTCTCGTCTCAAACGGTGTTAGGCTCAAAAGAAAGCAGTCCCTGGTGTGGACCAATCAGTTTCAAGGACAATGCATTATATATTATCAGAGGATGTTTTGTTTCTGCAGCATTCTGACCACAAGTATTGTGGTTAATGCAGAAATGATTCCTTGTAAAAGGTTTCAGTTTGGTGTTATAACATCTTAACACAGCTGTTTTGTTGCCAGAAAAAAAGGGGAAAAACTATTCTCATATGTTGGTACTGGCAAAGAAGATCCCATGATGCCTTTGTCTACCTCGTGGCGATGTTTACACATCGCACCAGGCACTCATTTGAGGCATAGTCGACCTAAGGGAGGCCCAGGACCGGTTCAGATAATCGTCACTGGTGTTGGCCGTGAGCGGGAAACGAACACGGGTCGCCGGGTTCGTAGAGCAGCCTAGCGCTAACCGCTACACTACTGCCCCGAATGCCGCGGGAGCACACACACACACACACGCGCACGCACGCACGCACACACACACACACACACGTGCGCACACACGCAAAGATCCCCCGTGTAGCCTTTACAGACTGTCGGGTGCAAGTGCCGTTAGCGAGCAGCACCCACGGGGGCCGGCACGGCGCACGAGGGGGACGGGTGGCCAGCAGCCACGCCCGGCCGCGAGGGCGCATCGGCGTACCGCGAGGGCGCTGTGGAAGGTCTGCGCCTGGTAGTACGCGTAGCGTGCCAGCGTGGTCTGCGTCTTGTGGCTCAGGCAGAGCCAGCTGTGGCGTGTGCGCGCCGGGTCCAGGTTGCCGTCGCGAGGCTGCAGCGCCTGCGAGCGAACCTCCACCTCCTGCTCGGGAGCGACGCGCACCAGCGACTTGGTGCTGAACACGCCGAGGTCTGCGGGAGGGGAGATCCCCGCCGAATCCCCGTTTCAAATCAGAATCGCGGGCGCGCTCGCCGCTCGTGACAATCTTGCACCGCGGCGGGGCGCCGGTCTATTCTTGCGACGACGGCGGCAACGATGCGGTTCAGGAGCTAAAATGGCAACGTTAGAGGTCTGCTAGCCACGAGGGGGCTTCGGGAGAGCGTCCGTGTAGTTGCTGCTGTTCCTCCTCCATTGCAGTACAGCGCAGATGTCAGCTGTTGACTATGCAGTCCATAGTTTGGGTTGCATGGCCACAATCGCACTACTGTGACTTTCATTTTGCATTCATGAAGGAGGTGTGTGCATTGGCCTGTTGATGTTCTGTTGCGATTGATGGTTCCACCAGCGTCTTTGAGAAATGTCAAAGCCGGGAGGTAAAATGTTTGATTGTGCTCTGTTTCGCAGACACAGACTGCAGTAGTTTAGCAGTTATTATCACGACGCTTTGTTTAAGAAGCCCGTTGTTTCAACTGCCGTGTCAGGATGTCGAACCGATTGCTTTTATTTAGGAAGACTGAACCCAATCTTGCAACGATGCGCTTCCACGAACACCACGGCGGCACCCCACCGTGGCGCCCCTGAATAGGAGATGTTAACTGCCTCGCCTGGTATACAGGAGGTCGTGGGTTTGATCCCAATGCCTGTATATTTGGAGCTTGCATCTCTCTCTCCCTGTGGTGGTGTGGATTTTTCTCCGGGTCGTCCTCCGGGTTTTTTCCTCCACATTTAGAATCAACATCACGGCATTTCGAGTATTTGGCTGCAATAAATTTCCACACGATGATAATGATGATAAGCCATTTCGTTGAGCTATCATCTGTGGCCAGGTCGCTTGAGTGGACCTTACCTAGTAAAATAAAAAATACTTTTAGTTGTATAAAATAAAAATAGTGCTGTTGCGAAACGGTACAGATTGCGGCCCCACACGCCTCAAACTAGAGGGCGCTCTGGAGAGCCCCTCTAGAGAGGGTATTTGGCCTAATCTTCCACACTGGCCAGACGCCTTGGAAGAGCTTGACGTACCCACACTTTACCCCACCACACGTGGCCTGCCGATTTAACTGCTCGGTGAACCGAGGAAGCGGGGGAGGGGGGAGTCCCATCCAGTACCTCTGCATAGCCAGCGCTGCATGCCAACCATTACAACCGCACGGTTAAAAAAATACCAACAATGTGTGAATCGGAAACTAAACAGCACAACTACATTAAAATCCAGTCCTGGGAGAGCCCCACCGAGTGTCATAACTATCCAAGGAAGGTCGCGTTCGGGATGTCTGCCAAGTTTAAATATATACACGTGCTATTTATGTGTTCCGGGAAAGCCTCATCTTCGCATGTACGAGTTACAGATTTGCATGTATGAGACAAATGGAGTGCCCCAGAGGAAACAGGCCCAAAAACTACAATAACAATCCAATAACTCAGTTTTACACGTAGGCTTTCACAAACAAATTCATCCATAATCTCTGTGTTAATCATCTGCTGGATAAAGCCCTCCCTACGCAGTGCCGATCATGGGGGTTGTTTGACCGTACTTTACCATGCTGGTCAGTGTGGGTTGGCGAGGTGAGGTGGTGGGGGGGGCGGCCTGGCGGGAGTCTCGGAAATCAGTGACCATTGATGTTACCCGTGGGTAGGAAATGCACTTATGTTTTTAGGTTGGCAGCGCAGTGTGCTAACCACTCTCCTGCAGCTATAGTCATCACAGTTAAACAGCTCTACGGGGAACACTAAAACCCCGCTTGATGGACAAGATGCCATGAAAATGTAATTCACAATGTATGTATATTAAAATGGCCTATGACCAAATCAACCGGGATGCATCAGATCTCACAAGCTAAGCAGGCCTGAGTGTCGAAAAGTGCCTGCATGCGCATACACAACAGGGTTACAGGTCGTGGGGCTATGTTGTGGGCAACAGATGACAGTGCAGCAAAATCCAATGTTGTACTTTGCTTCTATGAGCTCACATCCACGCTCACCACCTTGGCTAACCAGCAATGTCCAGCGTGGAGACGTAGCGTTCAAATAAACTCCCGACGAGCACAGCGCGTGGGGACGCCTTTAGCTAGCAGCGGGCTGACAACACGGCCATACGTGTACACATTCAAAATTAAGAACTCAACACCTTCGTCAATAACACTGTGGCCCTAAAAGAAAAGAAAAACATTGGCGACGTTTTGGGGAATGGCCCTTTTTCATAGCACATAAAACGTGCAACGAGGCATCGTTATCGACGAACATGTTGAGGTTATTTTGGTTACTTGCGCTTGTGCTCTTCCGCCAACACAGCAGTTGCAGCATTGTTGCCGAGGTCGTGTAATGCATGATGGCAATCGCACACGCAGGTGGCACGCGGTGGCACGCGGTGGCACGCGGTGGCACGCGGTGGCACGCGGTGGCACGCGGTGGCACGCGGTTACCTATGCCCAGCACTCCGGCCATGCCGCGGACGATGGTGACCGGGTTTGCCGGGTTTGTGCAGAACTGGTGCAGAGCAGGGCTGAAGGCATCGCAGCGCGTCTCCAGCTGCACACGCCAACACGGCACAGGGTTCAGACGACACGGGGCACCGCACCAAGCACTTCAACACAAAGACAACCCCGCCCCCCACCGCTGTGTAGCCTTAACAGACTGTTTGGGGCAAGTGCTGTTAGTGAGTAGCACCTATGAAGGTGGGTGGTCAGCACCACACCCGGCCACTTTTGTCTCCCCAGTGCTGATGTTTACAACACAGGAATTCAATTAATAATTAGTCGACCTTGGGTGCAGTCCAGGCCCGGTTCAGATATTCGTCACCGATGTCGTACCGTGAGCTTGGGTCACCAGGTTTGTTACGCAGTGCGCTAAGCACGGGACTACCGCTCCCTAAACCCAGCACTTCTCACACACACCACAGGCTCAAACCAGACATTAATTTGTCCTGACCGCCCCGGTGAGCATGTTTGACGGTTGGCAGCATCCCAAAGGTTCAAAAAGGTCAGGAACCGTTGTACTAGAGCAGTGGTTCCCACTCTGTGGTCCGTGGACCACTGGTGGTTTCACAAGGCCATTGGGTGGTGGTCTGTGGAACTATTGCAGGTGCGGTGATTTACAAGAATTGGGTAATGGCCTTTTCTCCGTCGACTATCATATATTTTTACTCATAAGGCCACAGTGTTATTGACAAATGTGGATTTAAAATATATATTATTTACCCAAACAGACCAATGCAGATAATAATTTCAGCGGATAACAGGGATTTCTACACTGGCTAGCGCCGAACACAAATGACACAATAAAGCGGTCTCGGCTACAAGATATTGCTCGCATTTGTAACCATTTGTGCCACTGCAAGTGAGCGGGCAATGACGAATGCTTGTGGTCGTTTAAACTTGTTTTACTGGACTCCAGAGGTCCGATAATGTATTTGCGTGCGATATTTCTTTACGAGTTGAACCAGGTTCCAGAATTTACACAGAGTACTCTTGCCAATAACATTTGGTAATCCGGCAGCATTTGTTTAACGAGTCTAACGCTGATGGTATTTTTTTATGCATTCCATCAGCCACATTGACTTGTTTGGAGTGAATAACTTCAGCAAAATTGATTCAATACTACAAGGTAAGGTGTTTACATTTAGTGTTTCATCAGCAGAGCCCCAAAAATCTGGGAGTTCACCACAACATTGGTTTAAGTAATCGTGACTGCTGACGAGATCCAGAAGGTCAAAACTGGTGGAAAGTTTACTTTGCTTAAAACATGTTCGGCTTAATAATATCGGCCTGGAAACACAATAGGTTGATGGCGAACATCTGTAAAAAAAAGAGCTTCATAGCTCATCAGATTTCTGTAGGATAAATCAAGATTCTGATGCTGTTTATTTATATGCGGAGTCAGAGAATGGCATTCTGATTTTATTTGCTTTAACCCAATACCACCAAGCTAACCTGACTTTAAAGAGAGGTGCAGCATAAGAGATGGGTCGTGGTAAGTTTCTGTGATGTCTACATTTCCCTCGTGTCCCATCACGAAAATATGGGGGATTGGTGGATCACTAAGAGACGGGAGCCGTACAAAGCACAAGGCCCCAGCTCGTGGGACGAGGCGGTGCCTCTCGGTGGGAGGGCAGTAAGTAGGACTGTATCCTATGAGACCTCCTTTGTCAGTAGCAAGATATAGTAATAGGTTTTTACCCTTTTATCTGGCACAAAAACTGACACCTTTATACAAGGGATCATGTTTGCAATAACCACTACACAAGCAGTCAAAATGCAAACAAAAAGAGACAACTCTGATAATGATATGCACTGTCCTTGAAATTGATTGGTCCACACCCGAGATGGCTTTTCTTAGAGCCTAGTCTCCACTGGTGTTGGGCCAGAAGTTGTACTCCTTTTGGCGTCACTGGTCCAACACCAGTGGAGACTAGGCTCTAAGAAAAGCCATCTCGGGTGTGGACCAATCAATTTCAAGGACGGTGCATATTATTATCAGAGTTGTCTCTTTTTGTTTGCATTTTGACTGCTTGTGTTGTCGTTATTACAAACATGATCCCTTGTATAAAGGTGTCAGTTTTTGTGCCAGATAAAAGGGTAAAAACCTATTACTAGGGCTGTATATGCATCTGACATCAGAGCTTTACAGCAGCACTAAAAGGACAATGCACAGTTTTAGCAGGGGAATATCTCAATAACCAGGGCAAGTGTTGTTGTTTGACTCGCATCCCACTGGGATTTTTTGCACGCAGCGTTGGTGTACGGTGCTTTTTTCAGGAATATTTTTTGCTGTTTTTCTTTCATGGATTTTCTGTTTGCACAGTCACAGTCACATAGTCACTTCAAGATGTTTTTCTGTTCGTGTTTTAGTTTAGTTTGTTTGTTGTGGTTACACCCGATTCAAGAGCCGAATGGCTCACAGGGCTATACAAAAAAAAAATAAACTGAAACTGAAAAGTGTCATATTCACTTCCATCTACTTCCATATTTTATGGAACTGAAAGTGCAGCTTAAGCGTGTACCACCCTCTAAGCTAAATGCAACACAGGGGCTTTCGGAACAAACATTTTCATTCACTACTTATTTTTGGGTTTAGATTGCGTGAGTAAAACACCAATGCGTGTCGCACATCCTCCTCCATCCGACACGGTTGGGGGGGTGGGGGGGGAAGAGGGGGGAGAGAAAGCGATGGGGGCGGCACGTGCGCCGCGTGGGTACGCGCGCAACGTGACGTACGTAGATGCTGGCGGTGTTTGGGTGGAGGGCCTCATGCGGCAGTTCCAGGGAAGGGTTGCTTGGCGGTCGCACGTTCCCACTCCGGCAGATGTGCCACACCTTGCCGCACTTTCTCGTTCTCCTGTGCGCACAGGAATGTGATGGCACGCGAGATCAGCGCATAACGTAGGCGGAACGGCGCGGTGACGCGGCAAGGCTCGTGTGTAAAAATATAAAATAAAAAGATGCCTAAAACAAATAAAAACACATTCAGCGCTCGTCCACAACCGTTTGAAGCGATGACGTGGGAAATTTTACCGCAAATCTGAAGTAAAAACTTCGTACATTCCGACTTTGTAATGCTTTCTAACGTGTGTTTGTCCTTGCAAGCATTGATTAGAAGTGCGGAAGCTGATGGGTAGCCGCCTGGGCAGACATCATTTGCATATTCGCAAATTGTTATTTTTTTTTTATCCCCAAGCTTTTGGGCAACGCCATGACCAACTTGACCAGTTTTCTCTCTGGCAAGACTCTAACGGCAACAACCACTGTGTACGACAGTTTGGTCCAAACCGGATCAACTTCACGAGAATTATGTTGCCCGACTCGCTCCCCGTCATGAACATACGGACAGCAATAGAGACAAAGATAATGTAACGACCTTCAGTCTTAAGAGATGGAAAAATGTAAGTTTTTTACCGCTGCCATGCCAGCACGTGTCCAGATAGAGTCTATGTTCGTGTGAATGACGCACAATGTGAAAGCAAAAGGCCGCTCTCCCGTGTACCTGGCAATACGAGCCAATTCCACAGAGTCGCACGTTCCCAGCCGGTCGTTCAGCTTCGCTTCCGGAGGCAGGTCTTCACGGTCCCCTTTCAATTCTTCCCCTGCCTTATTTGATTGTCCCTTACTTCTATCAGCATCGCCGCCACCGCCGCCACCACCACCACCGCCGCTGTCACCGCTATCGGCACCACTATCACCATCACCGCCACCATTACCACCTTCCCCAGTGTCATCATCACCACCGTTACCACCGCCGTTACCACCACCACCGCCGTCACCGCCGTCGCCGCCGCCGCCGCCGCCGCCGCCGCCGCCGTCGCTATCCTCCTTGGCGTCATCGCCAGCCGAGTCGCACGACGGCTCGCTGTTGAAGTCGCACGACGGGTCGCACGACGAGTGCGTGGGGAGGTCGCACGACAGCTCCGTGCACACCGAGCTGGCGCGCTCGGGGCTGCACTGGAACACGGCGGCGCCGTTAGCGGGGCGCCCGGCGCCCGCCGAGCAGCCGGACTGGCTCCCCGACGTGGGGGGGTCCCACTGCCCCCCCGAGCCGCCGCCGCCGTCACCGTCGGCCCGGTCGCCCTCCGAGGCGGCCGCGGCGGCGGCGGCGCCGGGCGACGTCGCCGCGGGCGGCGCGTTGAGGAGCAGCGTGACGCCGGGCCGCGCGTGTTCCACCGTGGCCGTCGGGGCGTCCGGCGCGAGTCGCCCGCCGGAGTCGGCCTCCGGAGTCGACGTCGCGGCGTCGGGCGGCGGGGCGAGCGGAGTGGTCCTCGCGTCCGGAGGGTTGATCGTCACCATCTGCTCCAGCGACAGAATCGGCTCGGCCTCCGCCTCCTCCTGCCGCTTGGGCCAATCGCAGCGCTCGCCCCCCGACGCGGCGTCGTCGTCATCGTCTTCGTCGTTGTCGTCGTCGTTGTCGTCGTCGCACACGATGATGTAGTGCGAGGTCAGGGGGCACGACTGGATCTGCCACCGCCGAGATGCTGCGGAATCGTGGCAGAATCGTCCTGTGTAACACACAGAGAGATACAATGCTTAGACATATAGAATATAAAGGGATGGACACGGAGATAATAATTTCCGTAACAGTCTCGCACTTATTAATAGACTTACATTAAAGGAAATCGTTATATTAACACTTGTGTAATCATCGACCGCATCAGAACATCACCAGGCCGATGTGCAAATCTCCTTCATGAATAGAAAATTAAAGACACAATCCACAGCAGTGCAACTGTGGCCACGCAACCCAAACTATGGACCGCACAGTGAACCACTGTAGTCTGAGCTGCTTTAACGGAGAAAGAGCAGCAAAGCTCCACGAACTATCTCCTGAAGCCCTCTCGTGACTAGCAGGCCTCGACATTGGTTGGTATTTCAGCTCCTGAACATATTGCCATACGCAGGAAAAGATAAAATAGCGTGATTATAACGTGATAATAGCGTGATACTAACGTGATAATAGCGTGATAATAACGTGATAATAGTGTGATAATAACGTGACAATAACGTGATAATAACGTGATAATAGCGTGATACTAACGTGATAATAGCGTGATAATAACGTGACAATAGCGTGATTATAACGTGATAATAGCGTGATAATAACGTGATAATAGCGTGATGATAGCGTGATAATAGCGTGACAATAGCGTGACGATAGCGTGATAATAACGTGACAATAACGTGACAATAACGTGATAATAACGTGATAATAACGTGACAATAACGTGACAATAACGTGATAATAACGTGACAATAGCGTGATAATAACGTGATAATAACGTGATAATAACGTGACAATAACGTGATCATAACGTGATAATAGCATGATAATAACGTGATAATAACGTGATAATAACGTGACAATAACGTGACAATAACGTGATAATAACGTGACAATAACGTGACAATAACGTGACAATAACGTGACAATAGCGTGACAATAACGTGACAATAACGTGACAATAACGTGACAATAACGTGACAATAACGTGCGATGTAAGCGAGTTGAGAACTGAGCTAGAATGGCTGCAAAGTGGGGCTACGTAACTTTTGGAGCTACGCACTTTTAAATCGTCTGGATGTAAAACTATGACAATTGAACCTCATGGCGGGACCCTGGGGTTCCCATAAGCCCCCGGCTCTCGCATAAACTGCGTTGCGACGTCATTTTATGTCTGTTGGAAGGCGAACGGTGCGGCTATCTATTCCTCTCGACGAGCTCTACACGATGCGCTAATCAAAGTTTAAATTTTTTGTTCCTTCTGCGCATTTGTCCTCGTTGCGCTTGAACGACACGACAACAGAATGATCCGTGCCAGGTGGGTCGCGGCGTTTATGTGCGTGGTGGGACGGAGTCACCAAAAATAAATTAACTCATTACGATTTTGACCTCCGTTTATTCGGGGCCCTGGGGTCCCGCCATAAGGTCCAATGACTGAAGGCGGACCGGGATCAGTGATGGCTATTGTGGCGAGTCAGGGGAAAAGATGAAAGTGATTTTAAAAACAAATAATAATTTAATTGAACCGCGACAAACCACAACACACAAAAAAACACATTTTAATGAGCATAATGTTTCCATGGGAACTTTTTTCCAGTATGAACAGTACGAAAAAAATAAAAATAAGTGTTGCATGCTTTGCCACGAGTACGTGTGGTTAATGCAGACTTGATGCCTTGGTATGAAAAATAAGAATAGATTTTACCCATTCTGGCAATTAAACAGGAGGTGTTACGATGTTCAAACACCAAATAAATCCATTTAGAGTCTGTACATTTTAACACCTCCTGTTCTATTGGCAGAAAGTGTTGAAACTCATTCTTATTTTTTCCACAGTCTATTATTACCCGCTATTGAATGTGAATGCAAAACTTGGGCACTGACAAGAGAGAGAGAGATAATATCGAAAGAAAAGCGTGAAGGGCGGCCCGTTAATAAACAAGTAGGAAGGTGCACGTTTGGACTTGGAGCGAGACAGGAAGCGGATCACGCGGATGAAAGAGCAATTGAAAGTTAAATATTGATTGAGTGGGGCCGCACAGGACGACGCATCACCAGTGGCGATGATGGCTCGTGCATGGACGATGTAGAACTTCTGTCGCAGGCCGAGACGAACGACAGAGTGGGCAGCCAAAGGAGTGGAAACACCTTGGAGGTGGCTGCTGCTGCTGCTGCTCTAAATGTCCACGTGATGATGAGCCACTTTGTCGAGATATCATTTGTAGCCAGCTAGCTTCTGAAACTCCAGTGGGCATTCATTACCTGGTCAAATATTTTTTTTTTAGATGGAGCAATGAAATCAGCTCCGATGTCAGGTTATGGCATCACGAGACCTTGAGTGGACCGTGAGTGACGGTGACGACTATGGGATGGGTTTTCATCTTTGCGGCGGATAGACCCCTGGCTTAGTGGCCGTCCATATATGACGTCACGCGATTTTTGACGATTTTTGACCCACACCCCTCGTCACACGGCGTTACAAAAAGTCAGAACCCCCCCCCTCAAATATGACGTCACAAAGCTCTGCCACCCCCCCAAAAAATAAAACATGCTTCAAATCGCTTTAAACTATTGTCATTGTAGTGCGTATTTAATGTGGCGCTGCACTCTGGTGTTGTAGGAGAAAACATTTATTTAAAAGTCTATTTAATTAAGTATTTAAAGTTGCGCAATTTGATGTGACGTAGTGATGTCACATTTCTCAAACCCCCCCCCTCGTCACACATCGTTACAAATGTCTGACTAACCCCCCCCCCCAAAGGTGCGTGACGTCATTTATGGACGGCCCTTATGACTGACGACAATAGGACAACTGTGCTAACACGAGCACCTTGAGGCCACGTGAACTGTCGAAGGCTCGCCGGAAGGTCACGGGACAGACCCAGACGCCAGGAGTTGACTGAGATGAGTGACAGACGCACCCGTGACCACCACCACCACCCACCACCACCCACCACCACCACCTACCACCCACCACCACCCACCACCCACCACCACCCACCACCCACCACCACCACCACCACCCACCACCACCACCCACCACCACCACCCACGTGTACCCTCTCATCGGCTCCAAACACCACGTGGAGAGAAAACAAAACTCGACCACCGCGGGCCCGCGAGTCAAAGCGACGACCAAGTCCTTCACTCATGGTTGGCGATGATGACATCCCTGTCAACCCCTTAACTTATTACAGACCAATTCAGACCTTATTGGTCACCCCGTGCCACCTTATAAATCTCAACGTTCACCCTACAAAGTCCCATCACAAGGGAGACACACAAAGACTAAAACAGTTTTTTGCCCGTATTGAAACGTCTGTACGCCGTATGGCCCTAAAAACTCAATATCCCTGTACAAGAATACGGGGTAAACCGTATGGGTTGACAAGTATGCTACTATACACTGCTATACTACAACTATACTACAACTATACACAAACAAACAGACACAAATATAAATGCCCCACAAAAATAGACAAAAAAAACATTTTGCCCGTACTGAAACGGCTGTTCGCCGTATGGACCTGAAAATTACATTTCCCCTGCACAAGGATACGAGCTAAACCGTCTGGGTAGCCAGCTGCGTGATGATGGAGATGACAACTCCGATACGAACTCGGCATGGCGACACTGAATCACAGCGACCACTTTGGGGGGCGGATGAGAGAGGGGGGTGGATGGGGGCCCCCATCCCCGTCATCGAGCAAGTGAACCGACCAAGTCCGAATAAATAAATCGATTAATCGAATGCGGCAACCGATTAATCGATGGGGGAAGGGGGGGGGGCCGCACAACGTCGAGCCGCCGAACCCCGAGCGCCAAGGGGAGGAGGAGGAGGCGCGGGGCGAGTGACTTTCACCGCGGCCACAGCGGCTACCGTAATGCCCCCACAGTTCCGCACTCGACCTCCCCCACGCCAGCGAACGGCGGCGGCCCGCGAGCTGCGCGTCTACTCGGAGCAGTGCGGCTCGCGGCGTTAACAAAGAACCGGGGCCGCCTCGGCGTCTTCGTCTCGGTCGTCCCACCGCTCCCTGCGCTCGATCGAACCCCGCGGTCGCCGGGCAGCGTTCGTGGCGCTGTCTCTCCGCGGTTGTTGTTGTTGTTGGTCAAGCCCCCCCCCCAACCACTACCACCACCACCGGCACCACCACCTCCGTGTCGCGTCGTGTTGGTAGTGGCAGCACTTTGTTGTAACGCTGTTGTTGATTGGTGAACGAGGTCGCGTCTCACCTGGTATCCCAGCCATGTTGCCTCTCTTCTCCGCCGCGTCCTCCTTCGCGCTGCGAGTTGCGCCTCGAGCGGGTGCGAGCGACTCCTCTCTCTCCGCTCCCTCCGTGTGCGTCCGTCAGCCGCCGACGACGCCGCCTCCGACGCCCGTCTCACCGCGTGTCTCCTACTCGCCCGCGTGACGTCACGAGGGCGATGGCGTCGATGACGTCACGCGTCCGGCGCGAGCCCCCAGCAGAAACGCGCGGGCGAGCGGTGACGTCCACGCGGTGTGGGGGGGGTGTGGGGGTGCGTGACGTAGTCGCGTACCCTGAAGGGGTTACCGACGTCATCGCGCACGCGGGCGAGGCGCGAAAGACGTCATCCCGCGTGGGAGAACCCGAGGGATCGTTGCAGGTGACGTCACGAGGGGACTGGTTCTGGGAGGAAAATCGTTGACAATGTCACTGGGTCGCCAGGGCGAGCGTCATTTGTTTCCAGCTCCAGCTGGAGCGAGCGTCAATTGTTTCCAGCTCCAGCTGGAGCGAGCGTCAATTGTTTCCAGCCCCAGCTGCATACCAACAACAACCGCCATTCGCCACTAAGTGGCGGTGACGTCACCACGACGCTTGTGCCAGGCCATGTGCACCTTGAGGCCACCACGTGAAGTGTCGAACGCCCGCTGGCAGGAGGTCACGGGGCAGACCCAGCAGGTGCCACGGGTCGACTGACTGAGATGACTGGCTGATGCACCACCTGTGCCCCCTACTGTGCCAACCTGCTGTGCTTTAGCCACCCGGCGCTCCGCTCGTTGTTGTGAGCGTCGCTCCTCCGCCCTCCGTTGTTGTTGGAGGGCGACTGCCTCCAACTGCCCAGTAGCAGCGTCCTTCACGAGCCTCCTCCACAGAGGCCGATCTTGACACCGCTGGTACCAGTCATCGGCCAGTCCACCCAGCTCCACGTCCTCCTGTACCACATCACTCCATCTCTTCTCTAGCCCGTGCCGCGCCCGCTTAGCCCCCTCGATCCGCCCGAACAAAAGCTGTTTAGGCACGCGGTGCATACCACGACCGCAAAGACGACCCCTCTGTGTCGCCTTACAACAGATTGTTAAGGCAGAATCGGGATGTATCTATACTGGAGAAATCCGATGAGCTATGAAGCTCTTCACAGTGGTGTTGGCGAGCACCTATGAAGGTCAGCTACACGCTCGACCGCCTTTGTATCTCCAATTACAATGTATACACCAGATACTGGTTTTAGGCTGAGTCGACCTAGAGGAGGCCCAGGACCGGTTCTGATGATCGCCACTGGCGTTGGCCGTGAGCGGGAATTGAACTCGGGTGGCCAGGTTCGTAGCAGTAGCGCGCTAACCGCTGCGCCACCGCTCCTCACGGCTACACATGCACAGGAAAGGGAGAACCTATTGACGGCCAGGAGTTGTTAGGGGGCGTCCATAAATGACGTCACGCACCTAGGGGGGGGGGGGTCAGACATTTGTGACGATGTGTGACGGGGGGGGGGGTTTGAGAAATGTGACGTCACATCAAAATGCGCAACTTTAAATACATATAGAATTGTTCTAACACTAATTGTTATAACAACACTCCTACAACATCAGAGTGCAGCGCCACATTAAATACGCACTACAATGACAATAGTTTAAAGCGATTTGAAGCATGTTTTATTTTCAAAATGGGAAATATGTGTTTTGGGGGGGGGGGGCAGAGCTTTGTGACGTCATATTTGAGGGGGGTTGGGTCTGACTTTTTGTGACTGCCTGTGACGAGGGGGGGGGTCAAAAATCGTCCAAAATTGCGTGACGTCATTTATGGACGGCCCCTTAGACGTCGCCGGTTCGATTCTATCTCCCGGCGCGGCAGTGGAAAACAATGGTTGCAAGTGTCTTCAATCCCTTGAAAGCGCCTCTGTCCAACCCAGCAGTGTGAACGGGTAACCACGACAGTCGGTCCGCGGCAGGACGTGTGTGTGTGTGTGCTTGTGGGGTAAAGAGTGAGCACTCCAAAGACATCAAGTTTTACAGCAGGGCTGCGTATTATAATGTTCATATTTTACACGGCATGGGAATGTGGAATTTCCATCTCGGACTCGTCAGGGCCCTCGATGTTCATTGGAGCAGGGAGTCTGTGACTTCTAAGCTGGGCATTCTCATGAGAAGAGACGGATGGGTCGATATTTCGGCCAAACTCATTATTTGGCAGTGGTGCATAAGCACAATCAACATAAAATAAACTCAACACATTCGTCAATAACACAGTGACCTTAATATAGCAAAAATAATAAAAGGCGACGTTCAAGCAATGGATCTTCTCTTCATTTGCAAAAAAAAATTAAAGGCCATTCCCCGAAACTTCGCCTGTTTTATATTTTTTTCCTTTTTAAGGGCATCATCGTGTTCTTGACAAACGTGTTTAATATTTATCTCATTTAATCTGCGGCACCAAAAATCTGTTTACAGACTTCGGAAAGGTCACCCGAGGCTTTCGACTTTCTGCGCCCAGCATCGCAACGCCTCTAGAGAGAGACGCGTGGCACTGCGGGCGTGGCACGCACGTGTGTGGGGGAATTTCTTGGTGTCATGCCGAGTAAAAAAAAACCGCAGCTCACATTTGTGGCAAGAGGGCAAAAAAGAAAAGTCGTAAACACGTAAACACGTGTTCTTGTACATTTTAGGGGAATTAATGTGGCGAGCCACCCACCTTCACCGTGAGTCATTCTCTCTACGCAACTTAAGAAAATGGTAAACCTTACTCCGAGTAAAAAAAAATACTATGGCCGTAATTAGTTGTACAGTTCTAGATTTAAAGCTTTCGTGACTGTAAGGATCCATACTCTTTGGTTCTATTCGGTAAAGTCATGTAGGTAAAAAATAAAACAACAAAAATCACGACGTTTCGGCCACAACACAAGCGGCCTTCATCAGGTGAAGGGACCAGGCTGTCTCGAAGACAGCGCTGGAGTGAAACACAGCTAAGTCGGCCAATCAAATGCTAATTTTTATTCTAATTCCTTTGTCAAGGCACCTTGTTTCCTCGCACACAGCTTAAAGGTCGCGGTCTGTGCGTGGCTGTTTCACTCCAGCGCTGTGCTCGAGACAGCCTGATCCCTTCACCTGATGAAGGCCGCTTGTATTGTGGCCGAAACGTCGTGATTTTTGTTGTTTTATTTTTTACCTACGTGACTTTACCGAATATAACCAAAGAGTATAGTTGTACAGTATTTAAGTTATTGATGAACTTGACGCGTGGACGCATTGGTGGTTTGGTGGGCCCTGTGGGGAGCGGTGGCACTGAGAGGTTAGCGCTGCTGTCTGAACTTGGTGACCCGATTTCGATTCCCAGCGACGATTATCTGAACCAATCCTGGGCCTCTCCTAAGTCTACTCAGCCTCAAATGAGTAACTCGTGCGGTGTGTAAACATCGCCACTCGGGTGACAAAGGCGGCCGGGCGTGGTGCTGACCACTCACTCCTCGTGTACCATGCCAGCCTTCATAGGTGCTACTGGCTAACAGCACTTGCCTCAACAGTCTGTTAAGGCTACACGGGGGATCTTTGTCTCGGTGGGCCCCAAGCAGAGTAAATGTTGGCTCATATTGAGGTGACAGAAGAGAGTACTGTATACTATACGTGAGACTAGCTTCACTACCCGGCTTCGCCCGGGACTTGGATTCACCACGCCCGGCCGCCTTTGTCTCCCCAGTGACGATGTTCACACACCACACCAGTTACTCGTTTCAGGCTGAGTCGACCTAGGGGAGGCCCAGGACCGGTTGAAATAATCGTCACCGGTGGTGGCCGTGAGCGGGAATCGAACTCGGGTCGCCGGGTTCGTAGCGCGGCGCGCTAACCGCTACACTACAATGCGTTACGCTTCCACGTGCGCGGGTCACGTGACAGATTTGACGTCACAGCTCGCCGTGCAAAAAATATGCATTATTGAGCTCCCCCCCCCCCCCCCTCAAAAAAACAAGTGTATTTTCATAATGTTTGCATGGTGTACAGACTGGAAAGTACCCACATGGCAAATTTCTAGTTTGTTGCATGTCGGGAAGTACGCTAAACATTTTGAACAGACACACATAATCACAATTTTTCATTTTATATACGTATATAGATAAATATAAAAATAGAAATGTAGAGTGACATAGAGATGCAGTGAGATTAAAGAGATCCAGAAAAGATAGTCATTGCGTATTTACTAGGATTTGAATTCGAGCTGACATTGGACCGCACTCAATTTTATTTTTAATGACTCCTGTGCCACTTGAGCCTCTTGGGGCCCTAAGCCTTTGCTTGGTTTGTTTACGCCTCGCGCCGGATTGGGCAGTGTGGGTGTAGAAGACGTCAGCTGTTTGGGGGAACCGATTGTCGAGTTTTGTAACCTTGTGCGTAGAGGAAATTTTGTTCTAGAGAAAGGCCACTGGCTGAAGCTGGCCGTGGTTCCAGGAAGACGTGGTCACACGCACGGAAACCGACACTTTACCACCACTGACGTTCTCGGTTGAGGAAATTACTAATTTAAACAAACTAGCAAGCGACCATAAAAATGCCCCTAATCAACATTCGCTCAGTGGAAAGTTGCTTGTTCTCCTCGAATGGGTTGTGAATTATTATAATTATTATTATCATCATACAGTACTTTGTGTAGCTGATCAGACCTAACAAGTAACAGTTAACAGAGCTTCCTTGAGTGTGCTTTCAGACACAGATGAGTTTCTACATTCATCCAATTATCTGTGATATCACAGTTAAGAGGGATATATCGCACAGATTAAAAAAAACATGAAAACCACTCTTAATATAGGTTTATTTGGGTTACATCGCATACATATTTGGGTTATCATCATACAGTACTGTGTGTAGCTGATCAGACCTAACAAATAACAGTTAACAGAGCTTCCTTGAGTATGCTTTCAGACACAGATGAGTTTCTACATTCATCCAATTATCTGTGATATCACAGTTAAGAGGGATATTTCGCACAGATTAAAAAAATAACATGAAAACCACTCTTAATATAGGTTTATTTGGGTTACATCGCATACATATTTCGGTTAGATTGTGTAAATATTTACGCGATCTAAAAAAAGCCTATATTATGGATAATATTGGTCGCGAAAGCCTACGTGTTAAAAAAAAATCTTAACCGCAGAATTTCTTGTCTGTAGCTTCTCCCAAAATAGAGTGTCTATGGAGCAAGATTTCTTTGTTAAAATACAACCTCGTACAATCAGCATGTTCCGCTGCGTTCATTGCATAAGGTGGTACAACCGTTGAGCGACAAACATCACCTGACGTTGAAAAGAAGTTGGATGTTGCAACTCGTGGGTTTTTACTTGTCAGTAAGACTGGAGGAACACATAGCAACTGAAATATGAAAATCGTCACAACCGCATTATGTAATTGAAAAAACGTAAGATTATTAACCAAAGCAATCAAGGCTGTCCTTAATAACCGAATAAGGTATTGTGGTGATTATTGTATTCGACAGATTAGTAGGGTCACTTAAGTGGCTCCCCCACCAAAAAAAACATGCAACGTTGAGTCAACATTGAGCGTGTGGTTGGCACCGTTGGACCAGCGTTTCATATTTACTGGCTCAGGGAATCAATACAATGCTGGAAAACTAAGCTAGCACCACCGAGATCCCCGGTTCGAATTTAGCCAGCCATGCAGCTTTTCATCCCCCGTGACAACAGCCAGCGGGTATCACGTGTCCTCTGAAACAGCTGTTATCTGCCCGAGCCAATTTGCACTACAGGGAATTACGTTTGTGCAATATTTTCAATTTCTCATGTGATAACAGTTGTTTTTGGTGTGACCCAGGGTCACTTTTGCAAATGAGATGTATTCTGGTCTCTTAGGGTCCCACGGTGGCGAGATGTTAACTATTTCGCCTGGTATACAGGAGGCCTGTGGGTTCGATCCCGACTGACGCCTGCTGCATATTTGGAATTTGCATGTTCTTCCCGTGGTTGCGTGGATTTTTCTCCGGGTCCTCCGGTTTTCCCCTCCACATTTAGAATCAACGTCACGGCGTTTAGAGTATTTGGCTGCAATAAATCTCCGCATTAATGAGCCACTTTGTCGAGCTATGATTTGTGGCCAGGTGGCTTCTGAAAAAGAGCTGTATAGCTCAGTGGGCCTTACCTGGTGAAATAAAAATAGTAGCTTCGTTTAAGTTCCCACCTGGTTAAACAAATTGAACTTGACTTTGTTATCATAGGCCCCCCCCTCACTAAAACTTCCATCACAAGTCTGGTTTTGTCATCGAGCAATGTTACGCAACAGGACTCGAACGACTTCCACTTGAACCGATTTGTTCAGTTGCTCTTGGGTTTGCGTTTGCTCACACAGGACCCAAGCTGCGCAGCCAGAGAGAAGGGGTCCATGCAGGAGTCATCCTGCAACACACAAGCATGAACACACACATCCCACTATGTCGCTGACTCAGGCTGCTGGGCCATGTGATATCTGGCAAGCACCTATGATGACTGGTACGGCACATTTTTTTTTGGGCTAGCCATCGAACAAAGACGGTTACCGCATCGCGCGATTTCAGATGCGCTTCTGCGGCCGTCTGGAACACTCTTCCGATATTAGGCCACCGGAGCCACGCACTTTAAAATCTAGATTGAAAACTCATTTCTTTAGAACTGCTTTTTGTGTTTAGTTGCCTTTCCCCACACCTCCGATTTGCACGGTTGGCTATGTACATATATACCGGTACATATATACCGGTACATTTATACCGGTATATTTGACAGGGGTGACGTGTCCAGCACCACGCCCAGCCTCCTTTGTCTCCCCAATGCTGATGTTTACACAACGGGCCAAGTACTAATTTTACGTTTTAAGGCTGAGTTGGCCTAGGGGAGGCCCAGGACCGGTTCAGATATTTGCCACTGATGTTAGCCGTGGCTGAGAATCAAGCTTGGGGCACTTGGTGCGTAGCGCAGTGTGAGCACTTATGCAGGCCAGCATGGCGTGCGAACGTGTGTGCTGCAACTAGCACCATGCAAAAGTGCAGCGGTGAGCGCACTACGCTACGAACCCGGCGGCTCGAGTTCGATTCCCGTTAACGACCAATAACAGTGCCGAATATATGAACCGGTTCTGGGCCTCCTCTATGTCAACTCAGCCTTAAAGGAGCACCTAAGGTGGTGTGGCAACATTGGCACTGGGGGAACAAAGGCATCCAGGCGTGGTGCTGGCCACCCACCCTCTCGTGTGCCATGCTGTCCTTCATAGGTGCTCCTCGCTAACAGCACTTGCTCCAACAATCTGTTAACGCTATACGGAGGATCTTTGTCTTTGCATGTGTAGTGGCCTTATTGACGTCGGTGACTGTTCATTAGAGGCAACACGTATTTATTACAGACGCTTCAATTACAGTGGCGAATCTGATACTTGAAGAGGTAACGGCCTCTTCACCCGTACTCTACAGAGGGAACGTTCCCCGAGCTTTAGCCCACGCAAGCTCCCTGGTTCCCCCTATCCTGGTCCTCTCTCAGGAGGCTGTCTGACCTGGCCCAGCTTCGGCGCAGGTCCCGACCACCAGCCCCACGAGTCCGGCCCTCAGAAGGACATCGGGCCTCGTGGCTCTGGTGTCGCACCCTGGCTTGCTTTGCCCGGCCCTCAAAAGGACAGCGAGCCAAAGGAGTTCCAGGGTCTAGCTAGTTGATCTTCTTTCTTCACTGGCTCTTCATCTTGCTTGAGTCGAACTCCCTCTCAGCTCTCCGGGTCCCACCTTTTATACTGTCCCTCTCTGACGGGTGGGGCTGGGAGGGATCACAGCATCCCCCACGGCCCCCCAGGGTGGTGAACCGTAGCGCACGTGTTTGTGGCCACCGCCCTACAACCACGTGTCACCCTCCCGTAACACCTCTCTACACGTGTGTGAGAGAGAGGGAGACTTCGTGCGTGCGTGTGTGCGTGCGTGTGTTACATGCACACTGCGTGAATCCCTTCGGCTAATTCCGCTGCTGCGTGTGCTGTTGTTCGCAGTGTTTAACGCCGCTTCTCACCGCAGTTCCTGTGCCGGACTCTGCTCCCTCACCGAGCTCCACAGAGAAGTGCGGGGCGAGGCGCGAGGTGCGGATGACGGTCGCCAACTCCGCGTCCACCGCCACGGGCTCTCCGCGCTAGAGACGCAGTTACAAAGCCGTGCCGAGGGCACAATCTACCAGACCGACCGGCTCTTCCGTCTCATCCACACGACAATTATTTATAAATTCCAATTCCTAACGCTGTGCCGCCGCCGCTGCCCGGTGTTTGGCTCCCTCTCAAAGAGGCTCGGCTAAAATTGAACTTTTTATTTCACCAGGTAAGGCCCACTGAGCTGTGTAGCTTTTTTTTTTTTTACAAAAAGCCACCAGGCCACAAATGATAGCCCCACGGCAGAGCAGCTCAGAGCCGCGAGCAGCAACCAAAGACGAGCGGCAGAGGCAGAGGCAGTGAGCCGGTGCCAAATTTCACCCCCACCCTCCCAAAGCTCTGCGGTCCTCTGGTGTTGTCGGCGAAATATTTCTTTATTTTAACTACCACGTAAAGCCCACTGAGTTATTAGCTCAAAACACACATTTATTAAAAAAAAACCTGGTGAGAAATCCACACGACTACGGAGAGAGAGAGAGTGGACACGCGAACTCCAAATACACAACAGGCATCGTTGGGGGTCGGGATCGAATGCACATCCTCCTGCGTACTCGGAGGCGATAACACCTTGCCACCGCGGTGTGTTTACATGCGGGAGGAAACCGGAGTACCTGGAAAAAAAACTCTCACGCGCGTGAGGTGGCACACACTCACCTGGTTAAACAAAATCAAATTGAAATGGCGCATCGTATATATCGTATCGTGAAAACGTGTATCGCGGCAACCCTGGTGAAAGTAATTTGTGATGCCGTATCTCGATGTGTAACGCCGCGCAAGCACGGTTGGCGAGCAGCACGTACCGGGAAGGTGTGCTGGTGGTCGAACGCCAACGTGTCGCCACAGTTTGGGGCCGAACCCAGGTAAGTCACTCGAGAGCCAGGTCCAGGCGGAGTCCCCTCCGATGGCAGCTTGAACATGCGGTACGTGCCCGAGGCGTAGCGCAGGGGACCTGGAGACATTTTGCGGCCCAAACGAGAATGGAACTCACTTGGTCGACTGTAAGGCTGGGCTATGCAATTATTTAAGCGGTTGTTATTCCACCTCACTCGGTGCATTAGACGGGAGTTAAGCGCCCTCCCAATGACTCTGGGCCCCCTTGGGCAGTTGCTTTAGGCTTCGAAAAATTGGTTCTGTGCCAAATTGAGCAAAATTCCATCCTTGAGAATTTACATCATGAGTTCGACTGTTACGCGATTAATATTACTCTCATATGCAGAGTGGATGGGAAACAGCTGTCCTCTACATTCTCGACCAGAGATCACTTAAAGGGATCGCCGAGGCAGCTCTGTGATATCCAATTCCACGAGGCCTCTTAACACGAAGGGCTGCACTGCTCTGCGAGAGATCCGAGTAGTTACGTTGTCACATGACATGCATATTGGGATACCTTTGGGAAGAAATGACAAGATGATTACGTAATTTTTAAAATCCATAATGAATATGATCAATTGTCAAGATATGTGTATTCGATAGTCTGCTGTTCTAATGAAGCAAGTACAGGTTTAAATAGATCTTGTGTTAACTGTACACAGAGTTAGACAATGATCCACTGTGTAACCTACACAGGATGTTGGGGCAAGCGCTGTTAGCGAGCACCTATGAAGGCTGGTACATCACACGATGGGGTGGTGTGGCCAGCAAAATTCTCGGCCACCTTTGTCTTCCTGGTGCTGATATGTACACACCACGCCAGGTACGCATGTAAGGCTAAGTCAACCTAGGGAACGCACAGGACCGGTTCAGATATTCATCACCGTTGTTGGCCGAAAGCGGAAATCTAACCCGGGAGGTCGGGTTTGTTGTGCGGTGCACTAACCACGACACAACCGCTCCCCAGAGTTAGATCCACACTAACACACGATTCAAAACCAAGGTTGTTCATCAGCACCATTTCTCCACTTGTCCACTGGCCACACTGCTTATTTCCATCCCATCAGTGTTCCCAGCAAATACGGTACGTTGGGCCAACAGTTACAACTGCGTGCCAACGTGTATTTGAACGGATCGGCCGTACACTGGTGCGCAATATTTAAAAAAAAAAGCTCATTTGTGACAATTATTTATTTTCCCACGATTCGGTCCCAAAATCTTGTGGGGTGCACCAAAATCGGTTCTCGTGATGTCGAAGCGGTCGGGAGACGAATGTTATGAGCGGCTGAACACGAAGCTTCGCAGTCTGTTGCCGTACAGCGGCACTCGGCCCAGTGACGATTGGCTGGCTCCGTGTTCCAAAGGCAGATTTGACTCCTCGTGCCCAAGACTTGGTCGGACGGTTTCCTCGATTCATTTCCGGAATCATTTCTTGGCGGACGGTGGCATCAAAATATTACGACTCATGTTGCCACACATTCGAATGGGAAAACAGCTGCTGAATCTAAGTGCAACGTCTGATGGAGAGTCTACAGCTCACTCAAGGGCAACAGCGACATCGTAAGACTGTTTTATGAGGACCGGTGTGTGTTATGCTGCACCGGCGTACCGCCAATACGTCCTGCTGGGTTAACACCACTCCTTAATTGACGCACCGAGTTTCTTGCAGGTGTCGGCGTTGGTGATGGTGATGTGGCTGGCCGTCACCAAGTAGGGGCGGCTGAACCCCAGGGCCCGAGAGACGCCGATCAGCTCCTTCCAGAACATGGCCCCACCCATGCCTTCCCCTGCAGAGAAACACAATGATGCCATGTGCGCGTGTGTACGTGGCGAGATGTTAACTGCCTCGCCTGGTATGCAAGAGGTCGTGAGTTCGATCGAAAACCTGACGGCTGTATATTTGGAGTTTGCGTGTTCTCCCTGTTGATTTTTCTCCATGTCCGGTTTTCCCCTCCACATTTGGAAAAATGCGTTTAAGAGTATTTGGCTGCTATAAATTTCCACACGATAAGCCACTTCGTCGAGATATCAGTTGTGATGGCCAGGTCGCTTCTAAAAAATAGCTATGTAGCACAGTGAGCCTTGCCTGATAAAATAAAGATAGTAAAAATAGTGGTAGTAATCCACTGCTGGATGAGGGCCTCCCCACACTGTGCAGGTCACGGGGGTTATTTGACCATACTTGGGGCGGTGGTGGCTAGCCACGTGGCCTGTAATCAAGCACTGTGGAGTCAGCGAGGGTTGATGGATCACACAGATGTTGCGAAACTCCCTTCCCGTCGGCATCGAGGTGCCATGCCCTGGCTGATCAGGAGAAGACGCTACAGCAAAGTGTGGAACTATTCTCCATCTGCTCCATCTGTATGGGATAGTGTGTTGCCCCCTCGCACGGAAGCGTGCGTTTCATCCGGGTGCTCCGGTTTCCTCCAACGTGTGTAAACGTATTGATTGGCTGAAACCTACTCAGTGATAACATGCACCTCAGTGTGTCGTGGATTGCACAGCGTTGTTAGAAGCAGCTCGCAACAATGATGCTTCTATATAAAAACGCTCGTTTATTATCATTGTTATTGTACTTCACCACGCTGGTTCAGTGTGAGTTGGCGAAGCCAGAGGTTTTGGGAGCATGGGACTACATGTTGCTGTACTGCCCTCTACTGACACCTCCACGAACAGATGCTGGGTAGCAAATTGTTAAATAGTTCAAATACATACATCGATCGATGTTAAGGTACAAGACTTACTGGTTTGGTCTACAGTGGAAAAGGTGGCGGCCGTAAGCCCGTACTATTTGTGCGTGCACATAAACACACACACGCACGCGCGTACGTACCCCAGAGGCATGGACTTGACTTGATATCGCTGGGCACGACAGCATTGGCGTACATATCGCTGTAGTACATCTCTCCACCTGTCTGCAAGCAATGCACGCGTGAAACACACGTGTGACACACGCGTGACACACGCACACAGACACGCGCGCGCATGCCAACACATCAAGGCCGTAGTCATGGAGTCAACATTGGGGAGAACCAAACCTTCCAGGGGGTCCACCCCCCCCCCCCCCCCCCCAGAAAAAAATCTAAATTTGAAAACGAATTTTCTGCCATTTCCTGCCTAAAATATTTAAAAATTCACTAACACACGGGATGGACTTTTTATTTACAATAATGTATAATAGTGTTATTGCATTACATTGCTTGTTTCATTGTATGTAATGGCAGAGATTAGGGATTTATTAAGTACAACCATAACCACAATCATATGAACATAAATATATTTTATAGCAATATTGGGGGGGGGGGATATTTTGAGCATATTTGAATATTAAAGGGGATGTGTGTCCCCCCCCCCCCCCCCCCCCAATATATATTATTATTACGGCCTTGCAACACATTAAGGGCGGCAACTCGGAGATCTTCGTACTCCGTCAGCGGCCGTAAAGCGTAACCTCGCGCGCGTGCGTCTCGCGCGTCTCGTGCGTCTCGTGCCGTCCACCTTAAGAACTTTGTATGCTTCCTTGAGAACCAGCTTCTTATCCGGACACAAGCAAATGACGCAGTTGGACCTGGCACGCAGACAAGAAAACATCGCAGATGCAGAGTCAGCACCGTCGAGTATTCCCTTTCCACTGGTGGGATGACAACCAGCGGTGGAATTCTACACCGAGACCGCAGTCCACATTTTTATATACGTTTGGCGACGAATCTCCCAACAAATTTCAAGGCCCTCTGTCAATCCACCGCCTGATGAAGGCTTCCCCGCACCCTCCGATTAGCACGGTTGACTACGTACGGTGTGAAAGAAGTCCAACATACGTACATACACGGGGAGGTCGTTTTACTCTACTTCACCACACTGGTCAGTGCCGGTTGGTGAAAGGGGTTCCGAGGCCCGGTTAAGATATCTGCGCACTAAGGTCAGAATTAGAATATTTATTTACTAGCCTTTTGCCCGTGCTAGGACGGAAGCTGTAATATTTAGGGAAAAAATTGAGCAGAGTAATAATTGCATAGCTTGTGTAAATTTAATGGAAGTTAATCTTGCAACGAAAGAATGTCATCAAACACTTAACTAAATTTCACTGTAGTACTGTATTAATTCGAGTGAATCTTGCACAAAACGATGTCATCAAACACTTCAACGAATTTCACTGTAGTCGTTTTCTTGTGATTGTAATTTTTTTTTAGGAATTGTTGCACGTACATTTTTCTTAACTTAAAACATGAAACCTTGGTATACGATATTTTGCGTGAAATCTCTTGTGCTGTATTCATGGCAGTGATTCTTGCGCGAAACTATGCCATAAAACACCTCACTTCATGTGACTGTAGCACTGAATTTAACTGACCTTCAATTCGTTAAAAAAATCACTGCGCTATTACTTTACTTTCTTCTGTTTTCGCTCGCTGGAGTTGTAATCAATTTTAATTCGATACAATGTCTGGAAAATCACGGGAGAAATGTGTATATAATTTTTTATCATAATTTAGATGCGTGACGCTGCCGCATGCGGGTGACATCACAGATGTGACGTCACCGCTCACTTCCCGTGCAAAATATATCCATTATTGCGCCCCCCCCCCCCCCCCCCCCCAAAATTTTTGTACTTTTTGCATTGTGTACAGTCTGGAAGCTGCATGTCGGGAAGTATGCTAAACATTTTGAACAGACACGCATATTTACAAATGTCCCTTTTATATTTATAGATGACGGGGGTGTGCGGCATGTGGAGTGACGTCACGCACGTGACACATTTCTGGGCTATTATCGAAGTAATACTGGAGGAATCCGATGAGCTATAACACTTTTTTTAATTCCCTGTAGTGGGGGGGGGGGGGGGGGTTAACAAGTGACAACAACAACAAACAATAAAAAACGATAGTGCAAAGTATAGGAAATGAAAACCAATCACAAAAATATATCTATGAAGCTAAACATGATATTTTACCAGTTAAAGCCCACTAAGCTATTAGCTTATTTCTGCAGAAGCGACCTGGCCACAAATGATCAGGTCAACGAAGGTGGCTTATCATGTGGAAATTTACAGCAGCAGCCAAATAATCTAAACACGTGTTTCTAAATGTGGAGGGAAAAACCGGAGGACCTGGATAAAAAAAAAAAATCCGTGCAACCACGAGGAGAGAGACAAGCAAAATCCAAATATACAGCAGGCGTCAGGTTCGGGATTGAACCCCCGACCTCCTGCATACCAGGCAAGGAAGATAACATCTCCTAAACCTCCCCTGGAGCACTCCGCGTGGTCCACTCTCAGCGATGACGCCGTGCGAGCTACCGCGCGCCTCCTGTGACGCCGTGACGGTTCTCGACCGGTTGGGAGTGCCGGGCGGTGATGCGGCCCAGCGGTAGGACGTTTGCCGCTTGTTGCGAAGGTTTGTGGTTCCAATGCATTGGCTGCCCTGATTAATACTGCGGTGTCACCGCAGTGTTAACGACACGCTTGCGTCATTCGCAAGGGTAGGCCATTGTGCGCCGCCGGTGTCACGGTCCAAATTTCAAAGAAATAAAATTACACAAATGACTCAATTGGAATCTACAGTACGTAGCAATCATCCCCCCCCCATCCCCCCCTCTTCGGCGAAAACTTATCAGGACACTCCTGAAAAAGAGTCGTGAGACTTGGTGAGACTTTCCTAGTTAAACAAGCATAGCAATAAGTAGTAATAACGATGAGCGAGTCCGCGTCTCCTTACGCACACGATGATGTCAAAGGTGTTATCTCCAAGCCCAGCCTCTCCCAGCTTCTCCAGGTAACCGGCGACGAAATTCACGTTGGACTTGGCGTAGCCAAACCGCTCGCGATGGTATTCCACGTGCGCATTCCCCGTCTCAATCTGCGGCACGGGGATTACAGGACATTTTTCGTTGTGAAAATATGGAGTAGTTAATGCTTCCAACAAATATGGGGGGGGGGGGGGGTGAGCGTGCGTGTTGGGTGGGGGGTGCGGGTGCATGGTTGAGGGGAGGGATTTGGGAGCGTGTGGGGGTGGGGGGTCACTGTGGCACCATTTCCATCGTCATGTCGATGCCGGTGACACTGCCCTGGGCTCCGACGAGCTTGCCGAGCAGGAAGCAGTCACGGCCAGAGCCACTGCCCAGGTCCAGCACGGAGCAGCCATCCAGGCACTCGGGCACCACCAGGCCACAGCCAAAGTACCTGGGGCATTACGCACGCAGACAACGAAGGCGAAGACAAAGATCCACCCGCGTAGCCGATGAAGGCCCGCGCTGCTTCCCCCCAATGTTCCGTTTGGAATTGATAAAAGCTACCATACTGCCTCTACTTGACTACTGTGACATCGTGTATAAATCAGCCCCAAGTACTGTACTGAAGAAGCTTGATTCCATCTATCACTCGGCCTTAAGATTTGCATTGAACTGCCCATATAGGACTCACCACTGTGATCTCTACATTGGGTCAAACTTAACATCTCTTAATGTTCGACGGCTTGTGCACCAGATCTTATTTATTCACGATGTACTTACAAAAAAATCCGCAGACTACCTACTGGATCTCCTCTCTGTTTCAAAGAACAAATTTGACCTCAGGTCTTCGCTCATTTACCAGCTTCACATTCCCTATTGCCGTACAAAAACTGGAGGAAGGGCCTTTGCTATTGATGCCCCCAGGGTCTGGAATGCTATTGCCAATAAACTGCAACTTGAATCACTACCTATGAGATCTTCACTCAAAACTGCTCTAGAGGAGTTGTACAACCCTAGCTGCCACTGCTATTCAGTGGCCTAAAATATGGCTCTAGATTTTGGTGTTATAATTTATTAATGTAGTTTATTGTAAAAAATTCGGTCACAGTCCCTATGATCACTGTTACATTGGATTTATGGCTTTTATTTTGGTGATTTCGAAAACGTTTTTTTTGTTTTGGCCATGTTTTTGTTTATTGTAGTACGGAGTTAGACTGATGGCCTTAATCTTAGTTGTCTTGTGGTTGTTGTTGTTGTTGTTATTTGACTTGCATCCCACTGGGATTTTTGCACACAGCGTTGGTGTACGGTGCTATTTCAGGAATATTTTCATATTTTTTTCCTGTATTTTCTGTTTGCACAGTCACATAATCACTTTAAGATGTTTTCTTGTTCATGTTTTTTGTTTGTTGCGGTTGCACCCGATTCAAGAGCCAAATGGCTCACAGGGCTATATCAAATAAATGAACTATGAACGGCACACGAGGGCGTGGGTGACCAGCACCGCACTCCAGTCACCTGTGTTTGATTCTCGCTCGTGACCAATTTCAGCAGCGAATATCTGAACCGGTCCCTGGGTCTTCCCTCGGTTGGCTCAGCCTTCAATAAATACACACCTGCTGCAGTGTGTGAACTGGGCATGGCTTGGCCCCTACAGTCTGGTAAAGTCTCACACTTAAGACTTGGTGAGGCCCGTTGGGCGAAGTAGCTTTTTACAAGGACGACCAACCTACGCTGGAGATCTCCGTGTGTTATCTCTGCATGTGATTGACCTGCTCATGATGGCGGGGTGTATGAGAGCCATCGCGTCCTGTATCATCTTGCTGGGTTTCTTGGCAGGCAGGGTGCACGCCACATCAGTCTGCAGGTCCTCGGAGGTCTGAAGCTTCTTGCCATAGTAGTCCTATTTACGTGCACAGAGGTCGACACGCGTTAAATCCGTGAGCGCATGGACGCTGCGAAGCGTGTACGGGCACAGGGAGTCACCAGAAGGCATCGTCAATCGGTTAAAATTATTATCCCGAGATATCAATGTGAGCGGGGGGTCAATAAGCCTACCGTGCAACGTCACGTATCCGACCGTCACATATCTGCGCAGACCGATTAACCACCCACAGCCAGGGCAGAGTAAATGTGTAAGGGATGTCATGGGAAGGATTCCAGCCAAAGGTATCCCAATATGCATGCCATGTGACAACGTAACTACTCGGATCTCTCGCAGAGCATTGCAGCCCTTCGTGAGCAGGAACAGTGGAAGGTTGGACGAGCAGGCGAGGAGATATAAGAGAGAGAACTGTTGGGAAAGGGGGAAGAACGAGTAGGAAACGGACGGAGAAGGCTGGGGACGAGTGTGGACTGGGGGGGGGATAAATAAAGGACGTTACCCCCTGCAACCACGTGTCGAGTTGTGACTGCCGTTCTCCATCGGCGCCAACTAAATCCGATCGTTTTTACGCGCGGCCACGTCTTTCTTGATGGCGCGCGCGTGTTCGCTCACTTGCAAGGCACAGTCAAAGCATGTCCCCGTGTTTAAAGCAGCTTGCGTTGTATTTTTGTCCAGTGACTGAATATTTGTCATACGGTGGTGTCGCTGTCACTTTGACCAGATGTTCACATATCCGCCCAGATGTTCACATATCCGCCCAGATGTTCACATATCCGCCCAGATGTTCACATATCCGCCCAGATGTTCACATATCCGCCCAGATGTTCACATATCCGCCCATATGTTCACATATCCGCCCATATGTTCACATATCCGCCCAGATGTTCACATATCCGCCCAGATGTTCACATATCCGCCCATATGTTAACATATCCGCCCAGATGTTCACATATCCGCCCATATGTTCACATATCCGCCCAGATGTTCACATATCCGCCCAGATGTTCACATATCCGCCCAGATGTTCACATATCCGCCCAGATGTTCACATATCCGCCCAGATGTTCACATATCCGCCCAGATGTTCACATATCCGCCCAGATGTTCACATATCCGCCCAGATGTTCACATATCCGCCCATTCGCTTACCAGCGAGTCGGATACGACGCGTTGTACTTTACAATCCTGTACACTCTAGGGCAGCGTGCTTCAGTCATTTTCAGAGGAGGGCCCACTTTGGCCGATAAGACATCATCAGCGTGAGGGCCGCTACACAATGGTGATGATGGGGGGGGGGGGGGGGTGATCTCACGCTTAGCTTGGAAGTGTAAATGTTTTGCTTGTGTGAGCTTATTCCTTGTAAATGAGACGTGCGGAATCTGTATCGCACATCCACGAAGGGCCTACCACTTAATAAGGGCACGCAAAGGGATACTTGTCCATTACTAAACTGCATTGGCAGTGATGTGGAAACAACAAAACACTCAACACATTCGTTAATAACACTGTCTTCACAGGAACACTGTCACACACACTGACCCGACTATAAACATTAACATAAACACTGAACCCGGCCATCACACCTCCCATCAACATTGACACACACTGACCCCACCATCACACCTCCCATCAACACTGACACACACCGACCCCACCATCACACCTCCCATCAACACTGACACACACTGAACCCGGCCATCACACCTCCCATCAACACTGACACACACCGACCCCACCATCACACCTCCCATCAACACTGACACACACTGAACCCGGCCATCACACCTCCCATCAACACTGACACACACTGACCCCACCATCACACCTCCCATCAACACTGACACACACCGACCCCACCATCACACCTCCCATCAACACTGACACACACTGAACCCGGCCATCACACCTCCCATCAACACTGACACACACCGACCCCACCATCACACCTCCCATCAACACTGACACACACTGACCCCGCCATCACACCTCCCATCAACACTGACACACACTGACCCCACCATCACACCTCCCATCAACACTGACACACACTGACCCGGCCATCACACCTCCCATCAACACTGACACACACTGACCCCACCATCACACCTCCCATCAACACTGACACACACCGACCCCACCATCACACCTCCCATCAACACTGACACACACTGAACCCGGCTCTCACACCTCCCATCAACACTGACACACACTGACCCGGCCATCACACCTCCCATCAACACTGACACACACTGACCCCACCATCACACCTCCCATCAACACTGACACACACTGACCCCACCATCACACCTCCCATCAACACTGACACACACTGACCCCACCATCACACCTCCCATCAACACTGACACACACCGACCCCACCATCACACCTCCCATCAACACTGACACACACTGAACCCGGCCATCACACCTCCCATCAACACTGACACACACCGACCCCACCATCACACCTCCCATCAACACTGACACACACTGAACCCGGCCATCACACCTCCCATCAACACTGACACACACTGACCCCACCATCACACCTCCCATCAACACTGACACACACCGACCCCACCATCACACCTCCCATCAACACTGACACACACTGAACCCGGCCATCACACCTCCCATCAACACTGACACACACCGACCCCACCATCACACCTCCCATCAACACTGACACACACTGACCCCGCCATCACACCTCCCATCAACACTGACACACACTGACCCCACCATCACACCTCCCATCAACACTGACACACACTGACCCGGCCATCACACCTCCCATCAACACTGACACACACTGACCCCACCATCACACCTCCCATCAACACTGACACACACCGACCCCACCATCACACCTCCCATCAACACTGACACACACTGAACCCGGCTCTCACACCTCCCATCAACACTGACACACACTGACCCGGCCATCACACCTCCCATCAACACTGACACACACTGACCCCACCATCACACCTCCCATCAACACTGACACACACTGACCCCACCATCACACCTCCCATCAACACTGACACACACTGACCCCACCATCACACCTCCCATCAACACTGACACACACTGACCCCACCATCACACCTCCCATCAACACTGACACACACTGACCCCACCATCACACCTCCCATCAACACTGACACACACTGACCCCACCATCACACCTCCCATCAACACTGACATACACTGACCCCACCATCACACCTCCCATCAACACTGACACACACTGACCCCACCATCACACCTCCCATCAACACTGACACACACCGACCCCACCATCACACCTCCCATCAACACTGACACACACCGACCCCACCATCACACCTCCCATCAACACTGGCACACACTGACCCCACCATCACACCTCCCATCAACACTGACACACACCGACCCCACCATCACACCTCCCATTAACACTGACACACACTGACCCCACCATCACACTTCCCATGAACACTGACACACACCGACCCAGCCATCACAACTCCCATCAACACTGACACACACTGACCCCACCATCGCACCTCCCATCAACACTGACACACACTGACCCCACCATCACACCTCCCATCAACACTGACACACACCGACCCCACCATCACACCTCCCATCAACACTGACACACACCGACCCCACCATCACACCTTCCATCAACACTGACACACACTGACCCCACCATCACACCTCCCATCAACACTGACACACACTGACCCCACCATCACACCTCCCATCAACACTGACACACACTGACCCCACCATCACACCTCCCATCAACACTGACACACACTAACCCCACCATCACACCTCCCATCAACACTGACACACACTGACCCCACCATCACACCTCCCATCAACACTGACACACACCGACCCCACCATCACACCTCCCATCAACACTGACACACACTGACCCCACCATCACACTTCCCATGAACACTGACACACACCGACCCAGCCATCACAACTCCCATCAACACTGACACACACTGACCCCACCATCACACCTCCCATCAACACTGACACACACTGACCCCACCATCACACTTCCCATCAACACTGACACACACTGACCCCACCATCACACCTCCCATCAACACTGACACACACCGACCCCACCATCACACCTCCCATCAACACTGACACACACTGAACCCGGCCATCACACCTCCCATCAACACTGACACACACCGACCCCACCATCACACCTCCCATCAACACTGACACACACTGACCCCACCATCACACCTCCCATCAACACTGACACACACTGACCCCACCATCACACCTCCCATCAACACTGACACACACTGACCCGGCCATCACACCTCCCATCAACACTGACACACACTGACCCCACCATCACACCTCCCATCAACACTGACACACACCGACCCCACCATCACACCTCCCATCAACACTGACACACACTGAACCCGGCCCTCACACCTCCCATCAACACTGACACACACTGACCCGGCCATCACACCTCCCATCAACACTGACACACACTGACCCCACCATCACACCTCCCATCAACACTGACACACACTGACCCCACCATCACACCTCCCATCAACACTGACACACACTGACCCCACCATGACACCTCCCATCAACACTGACACACACTGACCCCACCATCACACCTCCCATCAACACTGACACACACTGACCCCACCATCACACCTCCCATCAACACTGACACACACCGACCCCACCATCACACCTCCCATCAACACTGACACACACTGACCCCACCATCACACTTCCCATGAACACTGACACACACCGACCCAGCCATCACAACTCCCATCAACACTGACACACACTGACCCCACCATCACACCTCCCATCAACACTGACACACACTGACCCCACCATCACACTTCCCATCAACACTGACACACCCTGACCCCACCATCACACCTCCCATCAACACTGACACACACCGACCCGACCATCACACCTCCCATCAACACTGACACACACTGACCCGACCATCACACCTCCCATCAACACTGACACACACCGACCCCACCATCACACCTCCCATCAACACTGACACACACTGACCCCACCATCACACTTCCCATGAACACTGACACACACCGACCCAGCCATCACAACTCCCATCAACACTGACACACACTGACCCCACCATCACACCTCCCATCAACACTGACACACACTGACCCCACCATCACACTTCCCATCAACACTGACACACACTGACCCCACCATCACACCTCCCATCAACACTGACACACACCGACCCGACCATCACACCTCCCATCAACACTGACACACACTGACCCGACCATCACACCTCCCATCAACACTGACACACACTGACCCCACCATCACACCTCCCATCAACACTGACACACACTGACCCCACCATCACACCTCCCATCAACACTGACACACACTGACCCCACCATCACACCTCCCATCAACACTGACACACACTGACCCCACCATCACACTTCCCATGAACACTGACACACACCGACCCCACCATCACACCTCCCATCAACACTGACACACACCGACCCGACCATCACACCTCCCATAACAAAGATCCCCCATATAGTCTCCCGAGTGGCGATGTTCACACATCGCACCGGGTACTCATTTGAGGCTGAGTCGACCTAGGAGAGACCCACGACTGGCTCAGATAATCGTCACTGGGTGTTGGCCGTGAGCGGGACTCGAACTCGTGTGGCCGGGTTCGTGTGCCACGCGCTGCTGAGTGAGCAGTGCGCCACGGGCGTGCAGGCCACGGAGTTCCCTCTCTCCGTGGGCTGCACGCTGCTTCCACGCATCCCACCTTCACCAACCCCACACTGCTGCAGCACGGGGTGAAGTATGGTCAAACAAACACCGCCCCCCCCCACCACCACCACTACCACCGTCACGGCGTAGCGAGGCCTTCATCCAGCAGTGGATCGATCGTGCATGCGTGTACCTTCACGCTGTCGTGGATTTGCTGTCCGTCCATTACACGCGAAGCTGCGGCCAAGCTGCTGTGCTCAAGTTCATCGGGCGAACTTTGAACGTTGCGATGGTGCCCGGGGGTTTGGCTTGAGCGAGAACGCAGCGGAGGAGGGAGGCATTGCAGGAGGGAGGCATTGCAGGAGAGAGGCATTGCAGGGGAGAGGCATTGCAGGAGGGAGGCATTGCAGGAGAGAGGCAATGCAGGAGGGAGGCATTGCAGGAGAGAGGCATTGCAGGAGAGAGGCATTGCAGGAAGGAGGCAATGCAGGAGAGAGGCAATGCAGGAGGGAGGCATTGCAGGAGGGAGGCATTGCAGGAGGGAGGCATTGCAGGAGGGAGGCATTGCAGCAGAGAGGCATTGCAGGAGAGAGGCAATGCAGGAGGGAGGCATTGCAGTAGAGAGGCATTGCAGGAGAGAGGCATTGCAGGAGGGAGGCATTGCAGGAGGGAGGCATTGCAGGAGGGAGGCATTGCAGCAGAGAGGCATTGCAGGAGAGAGGCAATGCAGGAGGGAGGCATTGCAGTAGAGAGGCATTGCAGGAGAGAGGCATTGCAGGAGGGAGGCATTGCAGCAGAGAGGCATTGCAGGAGAGAGGCATTGCAGGAGGGAGGCATTGCAGGAGAGAGGCAATGCAGGAGGGAGGCATTGCAGGAGGGAGGCATTGCAGGAGAGAGGCATTGCAGGAGAGAGGCATTGCAGGAGAGAGGCATTGCAGGAGAGAGGCATTGCAGGAGGGAGGCAATGCAGGAGGGAGGCAATGCATCCAGATTTGGCGACAGCCCCGCTCAAGTTTCATTCTGTACGTCGTCGCTACGCGGGTCGATGAGGCCTGCAAAAGGGGGTCTGTGGTGGCGAGATTACAACGCAACAGTGAATGCAACGCGTGTGTGTGTTTTATAATCTCTCTCTGTCTCCTTCAAACTAACCGGGAATAAATGACGTGCAGGTCGCGTTGCTCACAAAGTGCCGTGGTTATAAAAAGGCTCACGGGGTCGTTCCCGAACTCGGGAATTGTCTCGATCCCCGCCTCCACTCCGCCCAACGTGAACGTCTCAGCCGCCTAACAGGCGTGATACCAACACCATACCGCGTCAACCCAAACACTACACTACTATACACTACACAATACACTACTATACACTACATTACTACACACTACACTACTATACACAACACTACTATGCACTACACTACTATACACAACACTACTATGCACTACACTACTATACACTACACAAAGACAAAGACAAAGATCCCCCGTATAGCCTTAACAGACTGTAGGGGCAAGTGCTGTTAGCGAGCACCTATGAAGGCCGGGACGGTACACGAGGGGGTGGGTGGCCAGCACCACGCCCGACCGCCTTTGTCTCCCCAGTGGCAATGTTTTTATCCACCGCACTAGGTACTCATTTGAGGCTGAGTCGACCTAGGGGAGGCCCAGGACAGGTTCAGATAATCGTCACTGATGTTGGGCGTGAGCGGGAATCGAACCCGGGTCGCCAGGTTCATAGCGCAGCGCGCTAACCGCTACACTATCACTCCCCACTTAACAAAGATTCCCCGTCTAGCCTTAACAGACTGTAGGGGCAAGTGCTGTTAGCGAGCACCTATGAAGGCCGGAACGGTACACGAGGGGGTGGGTGGCCAGCACCACGCCCGACCGCCTTTGTCTCCCTAGTGGCAATGTTTACACACCACACCAGGTACTCAATTGAGGCTGAGTCGACCTAGGGGAGGCCCGGGACCGGTTCAGATAATCGTCACTGGTGTTGGCCGTGAGCGGGAATTGAACCCGGGTCGCCAGGTTCATAGCGCAGCGCGCTAACCGCTACACTACCGCTCCCCACAATATATACACTACACAATACACTACTATACACTACACTACTATACACTGCACTATACACTACACTATTATACACTACACTATACACTACTATACACTACTATACACTGCACTATACACTACACTACTATACACTACACTATACAATACTAACCACTACACTACTATACACTACTATACACTGCACTATACACTACTATACACTGCACTATACACTACACTACTATACACTACACTATACACTACACTACTATACACTACACTATACACTACATTACTATACACTACACTACTATACACTGCACTACACTACTACACTACTATACACTACACTACTATACACAACACTATACACTACACTACTATACACTACACTATACACTACTATACACTACACTATACACTACACTATACACTACTATACACTACACTACTATACACTGCACTATACACTACACTATTATACACTACACTATACACTACTATACACTGCACTATACACTACACTATACACTACTATACACTGCACTATACACTACACTACTATACACTACACTATACACTACACTACTATACACTACACTATACACTACTATACACTACATTACTATACACTACACTACTATACACTGCACTACACTACTACACTACTATACACTACACTACTATACACAACACTATACACTACACTATACTATACACTACTATACACTACACTATACACTACACTACTATACACTGCACTATACACTACACTATTATACACTACACTATACACTACTATACACTACTATACACTGCACTATACACTACACTATACACTACTATACACTACATTACTATACAATACTACACACTGCACTATAGACTACTATACACTGCACTATACACTACACTACTATACACTACACTATACACTACATTACTCTACACTACACTACTATACACTGCTATACACTGCACTATGCACTACACTACTATACACTACACTATACACTACTATACACTGCACTATATACTACACTACAATACACTACACTACTATACACTGCACTATACACTACACTACTATACACTGTACTATATACTACACTACTATACACTACACTAGACACTACTATACACTGCACTATATACTACACTACAATACACTACGCAACTATACACTACTTTACACTACACTACTATACACTACACTATACACTACACTTCTATACACTACACTACTATACACGACACTATGCACTACTATACACTGCACTATACACTACACTAATATACACTACACTACTATACACTGCACTATACACTACACTACTATACACTACACTATACACTACTATTCACTGCACTATACACTACACTACTATACACTACACTATACACTACTATACACTACACTACTATACACTGCACTATACACTACACTACTATACACTGCACTATACACTACACTACTATACACTACACTATACACTACACTACTATACACTACACTACTATACACGACACTACTACACACTGCACAATACACTACACTACTATACACTGCACTATACACTACACTACCATACACTACACTATACACTACTATATACTGCACTATACACTACACTACTATACACTGCACTATACACTACACTACTATACACTACACTACTATACAATACACTACTATACACTGCACTATACACTACACTACTATACACTACACTATGCACTACACTACTATGCACAGCATATACACGACACTACTCTACATTACACTACTATACACTGCACTTTACACTACACTGCTATACACTACACTACTATACACTGCACTATACACTACACTACTATACACTACACTACTATACACTGCACTATACACTACGCTACTATACACTACACTACTATACACTGCACTATACACTACACTATACACTACTATACACTGCACTATACACTACACTACTATACACTGCACTATACACTACACTACTATACATCTACACTATACACTACTATACACTGCACTATATACTACACTACAATACACTACACTACTATACACTACACTACTATACACTACACTATACACTACACTACTAGACACTACACTACTATACACTGCACTATACACTACACTACTATACACTGCACTATACACTACACTATTATACACAACACTATACACTACTATACACTGCACTATACACTACACTACTATACACTACACTAATATACACTACACTATACACTACACTATATACTACTATTCACTGCACTATACACTACACTACTATACACTACACTATACACTACTATACACTACACTACTATACACTGCACTATACACTACACTACTATACACTGCACTATACACTACACTACTATACATTACACTATACACTACACTACTATACACTACACTACTATACACTGCACTATACACTACACTACTATACACTGCACTGTACACTACACTATTATACACGACACTATACACTACTATACACTGCACTATACACTACACTACTATACACTACACTACTATACACTGCACTATACACTACACTACTATACACTACACTATATACTACTATTCACTGCACTATACACTACACTACTATACACTGCACTATACACTACACTACTATACACTACACTATACACTACTATACACTACACTACTATACACTGCACTATACACTACACTACTATACACTGCACTATACACTACACTACTATACACTACACTATACACTACACTACTATACACTACACTACTATACACTACACTACTATACACTACACTACTATACACTGCACTATACACTACACTACTATACACTACACTATGCACTACTATACACTACACTACTATACACTGCACTATACACTACTATACACTACACTACTATACACTGCACTATACACTACACTACTATACACTGCACTATACACTACACTACTATACACTACACTATACACTACTATATACTGCACTATACACTACACTACTATACACTGCACTACTATACACTGCACTATACATTACACTACTATACACTACACTACTATACACTGCACTATACACTACACTACTATACACTACACTACTATACACTGCACTATACATTACGCTACTATACACTACACTACTATACACTGCACTATACACTACACTACTATACACTACACTATACACTACTATACACTGCACTATACACTACACTACTATACACTGCACTATACACTACACTACTATACACTGCACTATACACTACGCTACTATACACTACACTACTATACACTGCA